CCTTTAACCATTGTTTCTTCATTCCCTCTGTCTCTTCTAGACCATTAACAGGATAAATAAACTCCCATTTCATCTTTATGATGAGGAGATTCAAAATGTGCCAGTTTTTTTTTAAATCATCATTTAAGATGCTTCCTGTCCTCGTGGGCATTTATTTGGCTTTTATGTATTTGAAGAAGCAGACTATGGATGCTTGTTAGCTATGCACAGCATGCAGGATAAATGCAAATGCTTGACGGTGTACCAAATATGACCCTTTGTTTTTGCAGATGGGAAGCAGAGGGATACTACCTAGGTTACAAAGCCATCTAAATGTGAGGCTGAATGAACTGCAGTAGAACAATAGATGGTGGGGAAAAAAAAGTAGCTAAAAAGAAACCAGAAGAAAAAATACACATTAAACTGGAAAAAGGTGAAGTGTGAAATCTATCCCTTTTCTAAAAACACAAGTGGAAAGAATAACACCTAGGCTTTTTATTGTTGGTTTCCCCCCCTACCTCCTTTACATTCCAAGAGAACATCTGCCAACTTTTGGCCGTATCCGTTTCTCTTCTGTTGTTTGCCAGTATTAGTGCACTCTAGCACACATTCTTTCCTAAGACTTCAAAACGAGTCATTTGTTAGGTCTAACTGTTTAAAGAATCCAGCCACCCTTCCCTCCCTTGCTTGGAGCAAGCTGGGTGGTACACAGCGCATTCGCACACCCCAGCTTACACACCACGAGCTTGGTTGAAATCTTTAATTGCAAAGGCTCTTGAACCAGACTTCACACTGCACGCCCTGTGTTACTGTAGATCAGAAGACCCCGCACCAATACATTCTAGTGCTTCTAATGCTCCCTTTGTCCTAAAATACACAGTGAATCAAACATACCTGTGTTTTGCTTATTGAAGCTGCTGATGCAGAGTTTCAGTACTTCTGCTCTGTAAAGCATTTCTAAAATCTTAGATATGGATCTGCTTATCGTTACACATATAAACAGAGGGTGAATTCACCTCTGCACAAAAAGATTAGCACAGTTTAACTGTTTAAGATGGACTCTGTGGTGAACAGGCTCTAGACAAAGGGCTGAGTTTTACCAAAAAAAAGATTAATTAACACCATTAAAAAATTAAATATTGAATAAGTTAGGGTGTACAATACTCACTCTTTTCATATAATAATGTGACAATGGGGTAAGATTCAGATTTGATGTAAAATATCACATTGTTAAAGCTGCACCCACTTCAAACAGGTCTTAGTCTGTCTCTGGAGCAGAAAGAAATATAAATCTCAGTCAGTTTTATTCCAAGTCCACTGATTTTAATGTTAGCTTTGTTTATAAGAATAGCCCTTCTGTTGTTACTTCTTTCAAAAATCAAAAAACCCTGTCACACCAAGAGCTATTAGAATATACGTAACAATTCTTATGCCCTGCTCTCTCTCTCTCTCTGTCTCTCTCTCTGTCTTTCCTTCTCTTTTTTTCTTCTAGTGGAGAGAGTGGAAAAGCTTGCAAGGACCTGTTGAGTTATTTGCCTTATGTCATTCCATGAGTAGTGGAGTGAGGAAAAGAATCAAGAGCTCCTGAGTGCTCACTACCACTCTCTAAGGTAGCAGCATCCTCAGCCACAAAGCCCTGAATTTTCATTTTGAGTAAATGTTATATGGGATGCAGAAGAAGAGTAGTGAGCCACTATCTGGATGAAGATTTTAGGTTTGGTTTATTATTACATTAAGCCTCAAGGTAGGTCAGATACAGATCCAACTGCCTTAACATTTGATAGTGTTCAGTTCTGGGGTCACGGTCACCCCTCTATTACAAAATTGGGCTCGTAGTGTGTTTTGATGTACTTCCTATAGTTCATACAGATTATTAGGTATGAGAAAAGAGAAAAGGACTATTGTAATTACAACATAGAGTAAGCAGTAGTGAATGCAATACATCTGTCTTCTGAAGGTGGTGCTAAGCACATTTAGACAAACAAAACTCTCTTAGAGGTCAAAAATCATAGTACAGTGATTAAAGATACAGACAAAGCCAAAAAATGGGCATTTAATAGCGTGTTTAGGCTCTCATTTAGGAGATTTTGTGGAGAAGAGTGTTACTTAAAACTAACTGCTGTTGACCATTGGAGAAATGAGGAAAGATAATATAATCTTATGCAATCCCAGTTTTGGTCTGTTCCCTTGACCTGGATTAACCTTTTTCCTTTTATCTGTATTTTAATTCCAAACACCTCACTTGAATGCGACTGTATCCAGGTCTCTACTAAAAGCTTTAATGAGCAACACTAAGGTCAGCGGAAATGTTTGAACTTTATTATTATTTCATACAAATGCTGTAGGGATTCTTGAATCTCCCATAATTATTAGTGGTTTTGGTCTCCAGTGAGATGTTCAGCATCTGGCTGTATTAGTTTATTGATTTCTTTTTTAAATGGTTATCTTTCAAGAGCTGTTTAAAATACGTTTCTTCTTCTTAACCTACTATGTACAGGTACACACTGAACAAAGGTTGCACAGAGCTGGGTCCAACTTTCTTTTGCAAACAAGAAGTAAACAGCAAAATGGCCTTTATAATCTTAATGTAAATATTTCTATTTCTTTCTTGAGTGAAAAATTATAAATTTATACATAGCACACTTTCACTGCTCTTACTGTATCATGATTAACTACTGTTAATAGACCAATGAAATATCAGCTGGACATTCTTTCTGTTTATTACATCACAATGAAATGTATTGTTTTGTGCAATAATTATTAACAAAGATCATGTCTATTTAAATGTGCACGCTGTTGTGTAGACTGAATAGAGCACATAAAACTTGTTGGCTTTAATAAATAGAAAGCCCAGAGAAGCTAATTATTTTATAAATTATTAAGTATTCTTTTCATTGTTTGCATCCTATTAATACCTAGGGAACTTATTAATGGACCAGGACTCCAGCTGTTCTGTTTCCAGTAGCTGCTCACATAAAAGTGAGTAATTCCCTTACATGGTGTCTTTGACTTACTTGTAAAACCAATCCAAATTGGTTTGGATAAAGACCACATGGGTGAGGCCAATATTGCTCCATGGACTGAAAATTGACAGGATCCCAAAACCTGTAATGAGCACACAGTGGGGGTCAGACTGATAGGGACAGATTAGGGGTAACATGGACAAGACTGTCTGTGAACTGAAGCTCCTGGAATGTATGTGATATAATACTGGATACTGGAAAGGTAATAGTGTCACGCAGCAGTGAATGCAAGCAAAAACATGGGTCTAGGACTCAGATGTGCTTAAAATTAAAACTGAGATTGTATCCTAACTTCTTACCTGGAAAATAGACAGCTGCCAGACTACGGGTTCTTGATCTGTGAAGTGTAGAAGTTCCTTGACAGCCTTGGTTTAGCTTCAGCTTGCGTCTTATAGAATGGAAGAGCCATAACCATCCCCTCCAGAAAGAAAGTAGGCAGGGAGAAGACATTTTGGTTGTAACACCTAGGCTTGAGGAGGAAGACGTGATAGTGGCCAGGGTCCCGGTACAAAAGGGCTTCTGCATCTTTATACATGACTATTGCAGCAGTTGCCTCAAAAGTCAAGTTCCAAAGTCTTGAAATTGCAGGATATTTAGGATCCCTAAGGCTGGTAAAAAGGGACTAAGGCTTTTCACTGGTCTGAATCCAGTCCACCTTAGTACTGAGGAGTGCCTGAAAGTTAATCCCATGATGAATGGTCTTCACAAAGTTGGCTGGTTCTGGTCCACATCAAAATTGGCATTAAACAGCAGTCTCAATAAAAGATCAGAGCCAACTTAGGCTATCACCCTTGCAGATTGTGTTTGGGGTGCATTCCTGAGGCTCTGGGGGAGGCTTCTAATGCCACTAACTTCTTTCCTTTTCACATGCACAGAGATAAAGATGGCAAGTTATCAGAGAATGAAGCAATAACACCAAGTGTGTCCTGAAGACTAATGGAACAGTGTAGGCATCACCCTGAAATAACAAGATAAAATTACTCTCAATAAGACAAAACCACAATAAATGTTAAGAAGGCATAGGCTTCCCCTAATTAATCCCATTCTGAATAACTTTTTATTTTTTCTATAATTTTTTAAAATGTTTTCATTCTGAAAGAGTGAAAAATTTTTGCCTGAAAGATAAACCTCTGCAAAGCTGCAAGTTTCTGCAAAAGTGACTTAAAATTAGATGTGTCATGCAGTTCTATGAGTAGAGAACATTGCATCGCCTGTGTCCATTTTGAATTAGCATGAATCATTCCTCACTTGCTTACAATAAATATGGCTTTAGAGAATTGAAATGTAAACTTTAATAAAGTCAAGATTTACTGAACTAAACAAATTCATTTTCTCCCTTGATCTTTAAAATTGCCCATAGTTTTCTTACTTTGGACTTGTCAAGCTTTTCTCCCACTATGTTTTACAGCTTAATATATCACAAGTTAATTTCATTTTTAAAAGTCAGAGTACACCAATTTAAGGTCAATACTAAGTTTGCTACATACCCAGAAATTCTGATAATTTAAAAAGTTTTTTTGGTGAAGAAAATTTAGCCTAAAAAACCTCAAGGATTCAACTATTTTAGTTCAACACACTTGCATGTAAAGCCTGAGAATAACATCTTGGCAACCAATTTAAAAACATAGTGAAGCCATGGTTAATATTTCTATACAAACAAGCAGCAACCTTCATAACAGTCATTTAAATGTGCACAAAAAGGAGAACATGGCTTTTACTGGTTTGTGGGAACGTATAACTAAAACAATACATAAAAACTTACTGTATTCAAGGTTGGATCTACCTGTGAGCTACAGCAGATAATCCTCATTAGAACAGATTCTCTGAGTGGAGAACAAGAACCCCATATCTGCAATGCTGAGCCAACACATTATGCACTGTGACTTCATGAAACCAGTGGATCTGTCAACACACATGATATCAGTCAACTGAAACCAGAACTGTGCATTCTCTTCTCTTAAAGAAAGAGGGACATCAGGGATTTTGTTTGTTTGTTTGTTTTATTTTATAAATCAATAGCTTTATAAACATACAAATAAACCAAATATATTATATTTGTGTTGAAATATCATTTCAAGGTTTTACATTAAAGATTATTTTGAATTTAGAGCTGAATTTAGGAAACATTTAAAAGTCCAAACAGTATAATTACAAATAATAGGTTTCGCAATCTTATTCTTTAAAGAATACTGTCAACTTAAAATTAGATCCTTGGACTTAAGAAAAGCAAAGTAAACAAAAATCCAGGATAGAATAATAAACTAATTTTTAAGGAGTCTGAAACATCTTTATTTAGTCAGATTTCAAAGTTACAAATCTTTATTTCCTTTGATTGGGGAAACTTCCAACTAAATGTTGACTGTCATTCAACACACTACTTGGATTTTAAGCTCACAAACATACTTCAACAGAGAAACTCAAAGTGCAGGGATTAAAGTCTTTTTACTGTGTAACTCTTATGGAAACAAAATGCTTTTCTAAACTGGGGCCTTTACAGCTGGACTCTCTTCCCATCAAAATACACAAGATCAATGAATTGAAGGACGGGAATCCAAACTAGATTCTTTTAACAATGTTAATTAAATTAAACTATACTGAACTTAAAATCAAATCTACCAAATACTAATGATTCAACACGGTGGTTTCCTCCTCCTGAGCACAGTTTAGTGTGCCAACATTTCTAAACCATTTCTCTTTCCGTGGAAATACCCTTGTTGCCACTCACACAGGAGAATGAGTCTTCATAGCTGTTGGTTCCAACTAACCTCTGGAAATGCCTATTTTACAAGTTTATTCTGAATTCAGAATGAATGTGATTAGAAAACAGACTCAACAATTCAAAACCACCTGCAAAAATCACTTTAGAAGACAAAGACAACCATCTACACAGCAGAGGATTATAATTTTTGTAATTCTGACACCTTGGACTCAATGTTCTTACCATTTACACCAACATAAATCAGAACTAGCTTCACAAAGTTACTCAAGTGTGTTACTGTTTTAGATAAGAGGTAAGAGCCTTTCAATACTCTTTCCCATGTTGGCTTACAGAGCTGGTATAAAAATTACAGCATCCCATACGTTTCTGGGAGGATTCAAAAAACCCCAGAAAAGCAGGATAGCAAACACACAAATTAATAATATTTGCCACTATTAACCAGCTAATGAATTACAAGGAACACTAGTGGTAGGCACTGTAGCAGAGTTTAAAGGAGGTGTCCAATAGTTACAGTAGTAGGCTTCAAAGACAGAGAACTGAGAGGTACCATACAAATAATAAAAACATTATTAGTAATTTAGCTGATTTCCAGATGTCTTCTAAAATGTTCTGAAAATGGCACAGGAATTCAAGACAAGTGCTGAAAATCACTTAACATCACAGAATATTCTGAGTTGGAAAGGACCCACAATGATCATAGAGTCCAACTATTACGTGAATGGCCCTACGGGGATCAAAACCACAACCTTGGCATTCTTAGCACCATGCTCTGACCAACTGAGCTAATCTTATGTTAAACAGTTAAGCTACAACTCTGTATACAACAGAGTTTTATAAGAGAGTTAGTTTTTAGTAAATAACTGGAAGGGAACAGTAGCTGTTAGAAAGACAGTTACAAGAAAAATTGGTTTAGTTTTCCAATTGTTCCCTTGAATTTAACAGGCAGCAAAAATCAGCTGAGTGGAAGTCAGTCCAAACTGAGGTGGTTTTTTTGGTTTTTTGACCCACTCCTCCTGTTCTTTTGGAACAGCAACTGGCTGCACTTCTGTCCTCTCACTGTCCTACATAAAGGACCAGGTTTTGATGCCAGACACACTTTTGTGAGGCCAGGACAGCTCCAGTACCTTCCTCTTCACAGGGCTGAAAGGAGACACAGACCCACCTCCTCGGTCCAGAGACAATCCTGTTACGCTCTGAGGGACCAGTGTATACTGGGAAATAAAATGGAAGAATCACCTTTTCCCTCAAATGTTGCCCACCATTAATAACATATGCCCACAAATCATCCTACAGCACACCAAACCCGAGAAATGCAAGATCCCATTTGGTGCTTGCTCACGGAAGCAGATACAAGAACATCTCAGGTGAAGTCCAGGAAGTTACACTGGCCTGTCAGCAGCACTGAGGAGAGGAATATAGTGTCCATGAACAGTATTTTAATAAAAACATTAATTTTGAACTAATTTTTCTGCATCATCTTCCATTTCTGTTTCTCTGTAGCTGCCCTTGTGACCCATTTTCTAGGCAGTTTCTAGACTCTGTGTGTGTGTGTGAAGACCACTACTCACAACAAGCTCCATTAAGAAAATATTTATCACTCATAAATCACTCACTTGTCTATTTTCCCCTCAGTGTCCTTGTAACAGGCAGTTAATGAAATTAGCAGCAGTGATGTTTATAGAGTATTCATTGCCAACACATTGCTCATAGTAACTCTTCCAAGCAGAGATGACAGGGAAGGAGTGGCAAGGACTTCTCTAGTTGGTTTTGATTTGTGGGGTTTTTTTCAAAAGCAAATTTTCGTGAAAAAATGAGTATTGTTTCAGTGTTTTGTGAGTTCCCATTCTCTGCTGACTTCCTTCTTTTCCCACTCAAACCCAGGCTGCTTCTAGTCTGGCTGCATCAGCAGGCTGGCTGGGGTAAGAGTGCAGGGCTCCCTTTCCAGCAGGGGCTTGGGATGGATGCTCCAGGGAATCTGGGGAGGGCCCTTCGCCACTCCCAGGGGCTGGCATGATTTCTGACCAACAGGAACGTCTTTCTGATGTCCTTGTTCTCTCTTCTCTTCTGTCAAAGTCTCTGCTTCTTTGTCATATGTTATAGGCTGTTCTTCCGCTGGAGGAAAGATGGATATGTATTACTGAAAGCCATTTGAGAAGATTCACCACAATTAAGCTAAAAGAAAAGTAATGACAGCTTTGAGAGAAGAAAGCTATGAAAGAAAGCACAGAATCAGGTCCAGAAAATTGCAATACCAACTCATGTCAAAGAACATAAAAACAAGCAAAGTCAAGAACTTGCTTCTGATTTTAAGAAATTACTTGTCCTAGGTTTTTGTGGTTTTCCCTTTTAATTCGTAACAGGGAAAGGCATGCCCATAACAGGAAGACTACCCACCTGGCACAATTAAAGTCCCCACTTCAAAGTCAAAGGATCTTGGAATTATTCTCTGGCATGGTATAAGAACTTCCTTTAACATGTTACCAAAAATCCAGATTAATCACCAGTCTTTTTGTCTAAGGTGGTTGAATCACTTTTGCTAAAATTTTCAGGTAAAAATCAGACACCTATCATGGGAAATTTCTGTTCCAATAGCTGCATCTGATAAAACTATAAATGAAAACAGAGTCTCCTAACAGGAAACATCAGTCTTCCTGTGCTGGACAGTACAGTTCTAAACATGTTCACAATATTAGTCCAACTAAGTAAATGTGAGGCATATTTTCTACTGATGAATAAAGGGACTACCCAATGTTTAAGGACAGGATTGGGAATTTTGAAAATCTTGCAAGATGTCTGCCCATTCAAGTATCCTCAAACATTTGTCTTTGTGTATTTCTAAGTGACTGAGGCAAACTGGCTTCTCCAGTAACTTCTGCACTAAGGAGATATATATGGTAAATAAGATAAAGGGTTAAGGATATCAGTCTTTCTCCATCAGTTTTCATCATTTGAGCATTAAGTGATTCAGTTGCCACCTATAAGGCAATATTTCCTAAAATTCAGAATGGTCCACCTGGTAACTTGTGGGCCATGGAAGCCTGTTGTGTGCTTCATGCTACCTGCTGTCTCTGGGCGAGGGATGGGAGGCACATCTTGTTCATTCATCTCATTTTTGTTTAAGCACCAAACACAACCCAAGCAGTCAAACATCTATTTAACACAAAAAGCAGAACTGCAGTTGCTGCCGCAGGAGTCGTCCTGGACTGCTCATACATTTTCAGTTATCCTGCCTGAATTAATAAGGGTTGTCAAAGTATACTGTTTCGCAGATATACATTACCCAACAGTAAAATGGGCTTAACTTCACTTGCAAACCTGTGAAGGTCTACATGGATGCAAAAATCCAATATTATTCTATCACAAGAGGTATCTGGCTTCTTCTGAGTGTGAAAGCACTATTGTAGTGTGGTTTCTCATGACTAATCTGCAAAGTGAAGGACTGAATAGTCCTTAACAGCAATACAAACATAGCACCTGCTGTGCACAGCAGCTTTAAACAGGCTAGAAATAAAATTTTGATTTCTCCATCTCCTTTATCTGCCATTGGTCCTGCTGGTACAAGGTGAGGAGAGACCTAATAAGGTAGGTAATCCTACTCACCAGATTCTGAAGGACAGGCAGGATGAGGATCTGCTGTCTCACACTCAATTAGATCAACCACTTTAGTCTCCAGAGAACTGTTACACTCCTTAACAACCGCAAACTGCAAATACATACAATATGCACAAAATATGCAGAGCCCAAATTAATATAAAATGCACTGGTTTTCTGAAACCCAAGAGGCAAACTGGAAGGGCCACACACCCAACCACAGAACAGGGAAAAAGGTCATCCTGGCTTCTGGGATAGCCCTTCCCCTGCAGATAATTAAACATTTGAGTTGATGACAACCTCAGTCTTTCTTTGGAAAGCACACAGTCCCAGTCCAGTAAAGAACTACCAACTCTCTTGCCTTGCAAATCAACACTTCCAGGTGCAAGAACAAAAGCTCATGAAAATCAACCCTCTCCATAGTACTGAGGGCCATTTTTAAAGTATTAAAAAGATCTGCAGGAATCCAGACAGCAGGAAATCATCAAACAGAGGGAAAGAAGTGAGTTTCCCTTTCTGGCTCTCAACACCACCTGGGGGTGTGTGGTTCCATCATCCCACAGTGACCGTGAAATCAGAAGATGAGACCCTCTGGGGAAACATGCTGAAAAGACCAGGGGGAAAACAGAAAAAACAGAGGTAAAGGAAAGCAATGTGAAGCACTATGCTGAAATTGTACAGGGAGAAAGAGGAAAACCCAGTAAAGGGGTGATGTTTAAAGAACAGAGACAAGGAAGAGAAAATATCTGTAAATAAGATGTTCCAACAGAAGACAGATTTGGGGGTCCTGGTGGATAACTGGTGGATTTATGTGGATAGTGTATAGATGTAGCAGGTATGCCTATTTAGGCGTCAGTTCATTTACATAAAATCTGTAGGCTTACATCTGCTAACCCACATATGACAGACTGAGCTCTGCAAAATATCTGTGCAGCACAAAACACTTGGATGAAAAGTCTGTGAACAGCACCAAAATCCAGGCACATGCAGGAGTTTACCGAGGCTTATATATCAGTAGGACTACCCTGGCTTATGGAACTTCAATATGAACCTGGAAAATATATGTAGGCGTACCCCTTGCTAAAGGTACTCTCACCCGGCAGAACAGAAGTGAACGGAAAAGTGAATGACACCTGGAAAATTTATAGGTATAGTTTCAGTATCACAGTACCTAACACTTGATATGTGTGATAGCACAAAAGCTCTACATTAACCCAGATGGACAAGAACAAGAAAGTCTTTTCACTCTCTCTCACCAGCCTCACAAAGGAGCAGTAGCGCTGTGGACTACCAAATGAGTGAAATTCATGAGTTCTTCACAGTTACTGCATACACATCATCCAGTCCCAATATGAAGTCCTTCATTAAGATCATTAATATTGAGTAGATCAATAGCACCCAAAAACTATTTCAGCACCTTAGGAGTTGAGGACATATAGAGTTTTCTGTCCCCGATGTAGTATAATCTCTTTTTTTACATAAAGCTCTCCAGTAATCCACTTGCCGTGAACAGTAGAAACGGACAACTTCCCTGCTTCCACTGTTTTTTGGCAACTCTACAGTTTCTAACCTGACTGCATTCATGCATGAAGCCCTGGTGAACTTAACAATTAATGGCTATATCAGCACAGAGAAAATCACATGCATGAAACCAGAGGAATCCATTACTGTGTAAGCAGCAATAATCAGCAAGGGGTCAGTGATTTCCTCTTCCAGTCTGACACAAGCCATTTGCAGTAAATTACTTTATTAATGGATTTGATATCTTCCAGTGCATGCTGAAATAAAACACGAGTGTGTAATAGATGACTAGGTTAGATTTGTTTTTGTTGGTTCAGTCCATTGCTTAGCTGTTTAACTACCCCTATATTCAGCAAAAATGTCACTGGCAACTCGCATTAACTACAGGGTCAACAGCAGGTGGGGACAGAGCTGATGGGCATCAGGCCTCCTAAAGCACTGCTCCCAGGCAACAAGCTGTTCTCAGACCCAACAAATGTTTCTGATTTTCCCAACCTCAGGTATTTTGCAAGCTGTGGATATTGCCTCTGCTGTGAACAAATGATGACATTGCCATGATTCAGCACATTTGCTATCCAGTACCTGGAGGAAAAATACTGATAATAAAAGATCCACCAGAGTATGCAGTTGAGACCAGCTAAGGAACAATACGTCATAATCAGGGTCAAGTCAATTCAGCGCTACTGACATATGTTTGATAGTGTCTTCCAGTGGCTACCCAGTCACAATTCCTGCCAGAAACTACCTAAACTGCTTGTGAGGCCATTCTGAAAAAGGAATCTCAGACCAGGCATAGAAGTGGCCACAGATGCAAGTTATGTCACTTGTCAGCTTCAAGTTCCAATTGCAATCACCCAGCAGTGTAATGTCATTCTAATGCCAGTGAGAATCATGACCTTAGACCAGATTTTATGGGGCCAAATGCAGCTTAAAAAATGACAAAAGAAAGAGTCGTGTACAACCAGAGCATGGTGGCATTTTTACCTACACCAGTGTAAAGTTAGTATTTCATATATCCTTCCAAACTATCCAGTAAAATCTTGGTTGTTTTTCTCTGCAAGGTAGCAGCTTCTAATACAGAACATTTAATTTTATCAACCTCCAAAATAAAGTTCAACATCTCATGTAGCACAAACAGTACTTGGCTTCCAAGAAGCCTTTTTTACAGAGGGCATACTTTCCTGTGAAAATAACTCTGTGATATGCCATGTCATCACATTGCCATTTCCTTAATTTAGAACACAGTTCCCCAACTGTTGTATTCAAAGCTAACAATAACACTGGCTAATGGTTGCAATACATCCAGGCAGCTGTGAACTTTGAGGGATAACAATGAGGTAAGATGAACTAGGGTTCACAGCAAAGCACTTGATGACTCTAGCAGTTATTTAATGTATTTAAGATGTGAATTATTTGATGGATAATCTCAAGTGGATCCCTAACACTCTTTGATCCTTCCTGATTCCCTTTCCACTCCACATTAATATAGTTACCAGAGACTTGTTGCTAGTAGGTGTCACGTTCTCATTGTCAGCACGGCTGCTGGCATCTCTTATCGCTTCTGCATAGAGATTCTTCTTATACAAATTTTGACTTCTGCAACAGAACAAAAGATGAAGTAAATTATTTTGCTTTGGGAAGAACAGAAGATGCTTTTTTTCACATGTTATTCTGTCAGTATTTACAGAAGGGACATATATTTTTTTTCTTTTATTAGTTTGAAAGGCTGCATTACTCTTACCACAATTTCAATTACCACACAGTGGTTAAAACAAACAGCTTGTCAAAAACAAAAGTCAGTAAGAAGTGAACAAATATTTGTTCTAATGTGCCATCTGTAAAGGATCATTCATTAGAATGAACAATAGGCCTCATAATTTTAACTAGAGCCTTCCATTTTCTTATATTATTCTATCTATAACACATTCTTCTTATAAAGATTTGTTTCAGCCAATACAATGAAGAGCATTTGTGAGTGAAGCTCAGAAATAAAAATTGGACTGTCTTTCTGTACACTATTGGTAGTTACAGTTACGAAAGTCGCTTCTGTATTCATCTGCACCATTCATGAAAAGCAACAGTTTCAGATGTTACTGTGAAATAGACAAACTGAAAGTCTCAAAAAGTTTGGAACTAAGACCTTCCAGAAAAAATGCATGACCAACAGAATTAGTGCAAAGGAAAAAAGCCATGAGTACAATTTGGAGATGGCAAAGGTGAGAACAGTAAGCTCTAAATGGCTAGTTTCAGAAATTCAAAAATTGTTATTTTTCCAGTTAGACAGCAATCACTTATAAGGCAGTATTAAAAGCCCATATAGGCCCAAATATAAAATTTTGTTTTACCCTGCTTGAGATCCAAATCAATACATCTTTACTCAGTTTGCAAACATGTTTTTTGTCCTCCTAAGAGACAGCTAACAAAATTAATATTACACTCTTCAGACTCTGGAAGTCTTAGGTTACAATATCCTTTTACTTGATCTATTTTTAATAAAATATCATAGACATGCACCAAAGAAAACAGGAATTCTCCTTTTCTTTAGGAATTTTCCTTTTCTGTCTATATAACTTTTATATACTAACTGGGAAAGGGCATACGTCATAATTATCATATGTTGCTCCCTTCATGAAAATACTATGTAAATGTATTTTGCTTTTTTACTGGAAATATGAAAGGCCTGTTTCCAGCCTTGATATCCTCCCAGATTCTCTATAACATATTTCTGTATATTCAAATGTAAAAAAAAAGGTAATTTTCTCCTGTAGAGGATAAGACAGGGACTGTTAATATGAAACCAAACAGGTGTCGGATCTGACGGTGTATCTACAGAGCAGAATGCTGAGAAATAGGGCAAATTAGTCCATTTTGACTTTTTCTGACATCGTGGCAAGGCTGCTGTTCATGTTTTGCTGCTTGGATTCTGCATTGCAGCTCGCAGTGCTTACAAAATTTGTTACTCAAGAATTGTAAAATCCATTGCACAGAGCTCACACACAGGCACAGTCTTGACAGGGTGCTCGGCTCAAGAGGATCACTAATTCTGCATCTTACTGTAGAGTGCCCAGAGTAACAGATGCCAGATAGACTTGGTGGGCATGGGTGTCTTCGGGTTCAACTGAGCACAAGCAGATGGGGCAGTGGAATCTAGTTAACTGAGCACGGGCAAGAGGCAGAGAATTTCTCAATCCTAATCCCAGTCCTACTGTCTATTTCTGTGTAGCCTTGGCCAGTTGAGGTGGAAGAATTGTCAGTGTTAAATCTGTGATTCAGATTTATTTTTTTAGGTGGGGGGAAGTGTTATTTCCTTGCCTCCCAAGGAAGATAAGAAACTTTGTGTATTATGCAGTCAGACTACCTAAATCTAATATTAAGAAAAACATGATGCTGTTCTGCAGACAATAGTCATTGAACAAATCAACATAATAATTCAGTAATACTCAGCCTTCAGTTCACACATTTTTCAAATTGGCAGATGCGGACCTCCAGCTTCATTTCCTTCAATTAAAGGGAGATAGTCATCTCCATTTTACAGGGGAAAGAATAGGACTATTACAGACTTAATCACTACATTTCAAAATATAGTAGATTATGTGAAAAAGTGATATAGGAATTTCAACCCAAATACTGGCTTCCAGACTCCAGTTAAATAGGGATTTTAGATCAGTGGTTTAATTTTGATCTAGTTATGCTAGTAAAAGCTGCAGTTCAAATTCAGTCGAGCGTGTAATTAAAAAGTTGTTGTTGTGGTAAATAGTTGTATTGATCAAAAGCATTTAGCAAGAAAGAAGCATAAATCTGGAAGAGAGAGGAAGGAAGAAATTTTATATCTTCACACCTTAAAATGAGTCATATTCTGGCTATTTGTCATGATGGAATATATGAAATATATGGGAAATATAAGAATCTCACAATTTTTCTGTTCTATATGTATCCACTGATTCAAATGTGAATTACAGGTTATGAGAACAAACCACGCTGCATTTAGCTTTAATTCTGAACCTCTATCACTAGTTAATAGAATATAAGAAACATTGGCAGCTTCTCTACTTTTATGGACTAAATATGTCAAGAACCATTAATTAAGAATGAAAAACATTAGCTTCCATAGTTAACTTCTTTTGTCGCTTAACTTTTTATGTCTAGGAAAGTCTAATTTTAAAATTGATCTAAACCACAAACAAAAATCCTACCACAGATGGCAGGTCAGCATGCAGCAGGAGACTCTTGATTTGGTTGCCGTCTGGCTTTTTTAGTGTTTACTTTTAAATATAAATATGCATTTAAGCAAGCCTCAGAGAACAGCTGCCTGCCAAGGTCATGGCCAAAAGACTGTAACTTATTAAATGCTTAATACTTTCCAGTCTAAGGGACATCGATGACATTTAATTTCACATCAGAGCGGGTTCTTAAATAGTGACTGTAGGGATTCTTTTATCACAAGAAGAAACCCAAACCTGCACAATTTATAACAGCCATGGAAAATGCCAGGGAGTACTTTTACAACAGATGTGCTTAGGTTCACATCCCCGATTTTACTCTTTCTACTGCCAGGAAAATTGTTTTCATGTTCATTGGTAGAATAATCAGTGTGGAAGTTTGCTTTGGAAGGTTAATAAGCTACTTTTCTCAATGGCAAGGAAACTTTCAGGTGCCACTCTACACTGAACAAAAGCAAACTAATGAGATAGGTGGCAGTTAAGAGCCAAACCCTATCATGACAGTTTCAGACATCCAGAGCTCTTAAGGGAAACCAAGGAAGAAGCAGATAGCATGTTCCTGAACTCTCTCATCAACAAAAATTATGGCTCTTCTGCAAACCTAATGAGGTCTATTCCTCTTCCCTCCAGACCCATGTTGCTCACTAACACCAATGTGGGTCCTGCAGGCAAGGACGTGCCAGAACTTTCTGCATTGTTCATACAACCAATAACTGCAAAGCAAAATAATAGAGAGCTTGATATGGTGCTTTCCATCAGCTGAGGAACAGCTCACGTTCTTCACCATGAGCACTCTGTGAAAGTCAGCAGCAACTCAGCCCCTGTGCCGCATGATCACAGCACGTGTTTGGAAGCACTACCTGTGGCAGTAGGCAGCCAGGAACCCCAGAAGCAGCAGAAGGACCAGCACAGCTACACACACTGTGATGGTGATATTCCGCATCTTCACCCGCTCGGCATGCTGCTGCTCCCACCACTCCAGGTCACTGAACTGGCACCGCTCCCCAACGTAGCCCGTCACACAGCTGCCAAAGGAAATGAGCACACTTTGTAACTGGTGGCAGTGGAAAAACCCCACATCATCACTTCAGTGACCTTGCATATTGATTTACCACTGGCAACTGCTATAGAAATATCTGGTTGAATTTAGTAGCTGTGAAGACAAAAAGACTTTGAAGGAATGCTGTCAAAACCAGTATAATTCAGTATTACAAGTATTTTTTTTTACTGTCATTGAATCACCTACAGAATTATACAGAGAGATTACAATTTTCAGATTCCAATGGGTAAAAAATAGGAAAAAAATAATTTTCTCTTAAATCCTACTGTATGGTTAGTGTTTCCCTAAGATTTTCCATTTAACTGCTTCCAGCAGCAAGCTCTCTTTTCTTTCAAGTAGGCAATATAGGACTTACTCATATTTTCAGAGTGATTTGGTTAAAGGAATTGAATTTTAATCTTAATCTTTAAAATGAAAGGTAAATTAAAGTGTTTCTAAAAATCCCTCATATGGGTTAGAAATATCCTTGAAATTTAGTTTTACTACAAGGTTCTTCTGTAGGTAGTTTTTGTTTATCTGTTTGATTTTACCATTGTAAAACACAACATAGAAATATCTTATCAATGCATCAAACCCTCAAATTAAAATTACTAGAAAGTGAGGAATACATCAAAAAGAATTCCAGCCTAGTTTTACTGTGCAAGACGAGACACATAAATAATAAATGGAAAAAAATTAAAAGTCTACTAAATTTGTAACAATCTCTCAGCAACATGGGCTCAACTCCCAATTAGACAGTTCTTACTGGTCTAATTTTACTTAAGTTCAGGGGCTAGTCAAACAAGCAAGAGAAACAGGATTTAACCAGCAGCAGCTTTTACCTAATATTCTGAAATTATTATGTCTGCATTCATTATTAAATCAGGCACAAGTACTCTCATTCTGTCACAATTTAGAATGCATACGTGCTGCAAGGCAGAAAAAAGGCTAAGTTTTTAACATTAGATCACGATGAATTCCAAATATGATGGAAGATCTACTTTCTACTGTAAGATCTTTTATTAATAAAAATACAAATCACATTTGGTATGTGATTTCTGCTAGATATTTTTGCTAAATAACATTTTTCTATTACTTCCTTTTGCTGGTTAGTATATGAGAGCCTACATGAATGAATGCTGCCATCTAGTGAGAATTCAGCAAGGTCAGAAGCCAGCAAGGTCCACATACAAAGCCTGGCCCCCAAGAGCATGGCTAAGTATGGTCACTCCTTAATTTTTTTAACTGCTTCCACTTCTAGAACTGAATAATATGTACGTTTGGATTCTTATTATGCACTAACACCTAACAAATAAAAGAAAAGAATATGTGATCCAATTTGAAAGTCCTGCAGTTTTGTACTCTTTAGTTTCAATAGAAGAAATGAGATGAAAAAAAAAGGAGACAGTTTTCAATGCCTCTAAAATTTACACTAAAAATTCACAACAGATACTTGGGATGACCATGAGTCCATCTCATGTAATGTCTTTGGTGAGCTTAGGAAATCCATGGCACAAAGCACCTACTTCATTCCCTTGTATGTACATGGGATACATTCTTTTCATATTTTTGCAGGTACAGAGGTCTGTAGGCAATGGAGAGCACTCATATTTAAAAATAAGAAAGCCTAGGATGTGCCATTGCTTGCAGGAATGGACTGGCACAGGGGTTCCTGCAGTGCAGTACAAGGAAGACCTGGGGGAGTGGTGGGTCAAAGAAACTCTTCAGCACAATGCTTGCTCTCCTCACTCCAGAGTTATACCAGGACCACCTGAATTACTGAGACACAGAGGGAGATTTGCCTACTATGGAACAGCATCCATCTCCTGCACAGGTCCTCATTTACCAGATGAGACCTGAGGGGAGGAGGCAGGCATTGGATTTGTCCCCCATTTATGCTTGATTTTGAAGAAAGATACAGTACAGATTCAAATATAGTCAAGTTACAGACTTGAACAGCAGCATTAAAGGTTTTGAAGAAATGATTAGCCCATAGGACTAGGCTGCCACATTGAACAGGCTAAGGCTGATTTCCAGAGAGTTGAAATGATTCTGCTTCCTTTTATCAGGCCTGCAGTTGGGGAACCTAGACTTAGGCCTCACAAAAATATTGAGGGGAGAAGTAGGTCTCATTTTTGAGGTCTCATTTCTACCCTCCCTGATTTTAAGAAGGCTGTTATGTTGTATCCTTTCTGCCGAGGACCATGACTCTTCAAACTGTAAGGGAAGATGCTGACACCACTTCTGGTCTCCTGTCTCAATCAGAGAAGAAAAGTCAGAGATGTCCTCTTCCACCCCACTGAATGCTACACATGAGCAGCAAGACCAACAGCACAATACGTACAGGAGAGACAGCAAGCACCTCTTTTATAATGCCATGAGCACTAATCACTTAATAGCTTACCTCCCATTTCCAAAGTAAAGAATCAAGTCCGTAGGGAGCAAATCCAATCCTACTATTAGTTGCAATGGGTGTGAACAGAATGGCCAGGTACTGAAACTTACAGTGATCACTTATAGAAAAGAGGAAAGTCTAATTCTATTTGCTAGCATGAACAGATAATATGGACATACTCTTCACTGCCTGCACTTAATTAAGGGTAGCACCATAAGGATGCCATTCATTAGAACAAAACCTACAAATTTCTGTACTTACTTGCAGGCATAGTCTTGTAGATCAGAAACATAATTACACACTCCACCATGAAGGCAATATGACTCGTACGAAGGAGGGCATCCTACAATATCACCTTGCACAGCGTGTGTAGAGTATTCATTGCTGACAACAGTTGGGGGAACAGTAGTTTCTGAAACAGAGGATTTCACAAGGACATCTCAAGCTTTTGGCCCCATTGGCAATGTGGTCTTACAAAAGAGTTCCAGAACTTCAAGGTACAAAAGTAGGTAAAAATATCTAATTTCAATTAATTATTTGTGTTTTAACTATTTGCTTATGTTGCTATCAAATTCAAACACACATAAATTGAGATCAAATTACTAAATATGCGTGATTTTAGATTTGCAATGAAAGAGCCACAGACTGAGTTCTGTCTATTTAGACGTGTGAGTCCAGTTCTGAGGAGAAACTGCATTAATTGTCTAGATGTTTACACTCAAATGATTTTTGCTACTTACGCAGCTGTGGGGTATGGTAAATCTCTACCATGCATGAAGTACCAGTCAGAGGGCTAGCTCACATACAGATAGCAACATAACTGGGGAAGCAGGGACCCCTACGGACCCAGTTCTCTAAAGGATTCTGTAGCTTGCTCTGAATCACACACGCTGTCATCTACACAGCTATCCAAACTAGCTGGTTTTAAAAGTAGCACTAATACCTCTGCACAGCATGACCTACAGTGCAGACATACTCTTACAGAAAAGGAGTGTTTTCTTGCCTACATTGATGCTGTATCAAATCTATAGGTCAGAACAGAACAGATACATGGCAAAGAATTTCTGGCACTATGGCTTAGAAGAAACACACCTAATTGCTTTCACACTATTATGGGATCAGTTTTATGCTGCACACCATTTGTATTGCAACATGACCTTCAATGACATTTGTTTTTTAAAATTTCATTTGCGGGAGGCCTGCCGTGGCAAAGAGCATGAGTGGAAAGGGATGAGTGAACCCCAGGTGTGTGTGCATTCTGCAAAGAAAATTGCATCTTGCTAAAATTGCTAAGGGAGTAAAACCAGCGTGTTAACACCTACGAAGACATGCAATCAGGCTGACAGATGAGGGACCTAGAAAGCATTACTTCCGAGTCATGCATCATTTAAAATCATCATTTTCTGAGTGACATCTGAAACTACTGAAAGCTTAAGTAACTGAAAAGATGTTCTATTTAAGAAAGCCATAATTTCCTTCTGTTTTTCTGCAGGAATAGATCTGTGACAATCACACAGTGTCCCTCCATCATCAGACAGCCACTTGATTTGGAGTAAAATTCACCCTGACTAGGGGGGATGACACAGAGTAAGACAATGAGTCGCTTAGCTCCACATTTTCCAAGAATGCTGCTGCCACAATGAGGCGCTGAAATGAGGGTCAGATAGTCACTAGCGCTGAAACTTCTGCAGCTCCCTTCAGCAAACAGGTAATCAGATTTTCTAAAGAGTTTCAGAGCCCTTTTGAAAAATTAGTGACTGGATCTGAAAGACAAGTTTTTTCTGAAGAATCAAGTGGGACTTAAATAATGTGCAGTTTCTGTGCTAGACTTCTGCAGTGGGAAGGAAGGCACAGAGCATTTGAAAAATGACACAGACTGAAATTACCTCCGAAAATATTACTTCCAAGGAGCATTTACTTCTGGTTTTGATTGTAAAGGCCATTAGATAGATTGGTTGTTACATTCAGACACTGAACCTTAATGTAGATATTTCCAAGCTAAACTCAGATCTAGTCTCCTTAGTCCACCTCAAAACAGCCTCCTAAAGCAATGTTAGATGCATCCACAATCTGGTCAGTATGTCACTGTACAGGGATATCTTGGTTTCCAAGTATAACGATTTATCCAAGAACACTGTTCTTAATGAAGGGCCACTTCATTTTATTTGCTCACTCCATTTACTCACTGCAACTGATGCCAGTTCCAGAAGCATGATCAGCACACGAGCAAGTGAAGTTTCCTTCTGTATTTGTGCAGGTCATGTTCTCTCCACAGGTGTGGGACCCCGTCTTGCACTCATCAATATCTGTCACCCAAACAGTCTGCAGTTAGAAGAATGAAATGACTCAGAGCATCAGTTAAAAGGACAGCAGAAGGGTTTGGGGGTGGGGAGCTGCCCCCTGTACTATCCACTTAGTTCAACCTAAACAAAAAGTTTACGCAGAAGGAAAGGGTCTAGAAACCTACATATTTATTCAGTTTGTGTGAACACTTCAGTGAGTGAGGATCTGAATTACTGTGAAGAGGCTCCCCGATTACAAGAGTTTCCATGCTCAGAGCCAGTGTTAGGCTCATATATACCTCTCACCTCCACCCTACTGCATACCCTCACCCTGCCTCCACGCCTTCTCTAGCAAAGCCCACGGCAGTAGCTCCTGCCAGGCTGGCACCTGCGTGTTCCTAGACACCTAAGCACGCCCCTCAAAGGTGGGACCTTTGAAAGCGTTCGCATACCAGAGTTTGTCAGCCTCTGATTCATTTTATGAACTGTCAGCAGAATATATGTGCCAGATCTACTTTGAGGAATCACAGATCTACTACCCCAGTTTTTGTGAAATGATTGCTTAAACCACTGGGACTTTTTCTACAGTAAAATTAACATGATAGGTCTCAAAACAGTATAGAAATGGAATGCAGGAATGCATTGTGAATGCAGGAAGGCATCTAAAATTGAAGTACTAAGGCACACCAGTTTCTGGGTTTCATAATACATTTCAAGTCATCAAACACAAAATAAGTTCCAGTTCTGTTTACATCATAATAATATTGTAGTTTTTATAAAATGCTGTGAATCTTACTATTTTCTGGATTTCAAGACTTCAGGAAGATAATAGATTGTTTTTCAATAATAGTGGAAGGTAACACAATCCTTCTAGCTGTGCAACTATACCACAGACAGAAAGATTCCAGGGCTGCCTGAAGGCATGCCTTCTGTAGGGTGCTGGGAAAGAAAGAGGAGTTTGTCACTTCTGTGTGCACTTTCATCTCCACTTCCAAACATTCTCAAAGACATGACCTCTGTCTCTGACCATTGTAGGCAAAAGGCTTTCTTGAATCTTCTGCCTCTGATACTTTCCAAATCCTGTCAATAATAATGATATTGTTCTTAATTTTTTAGCCATCCTAACCAGTGTTGAAGAACCAAAGTCCAGCAAAGATTATATAAGAATTGGTTCAAATATAATGGCTCTGAATTAGGTCATAAGGGAAAAAAGGAAAAAAGGAAAAAAGGAAAAAAGGAAAGGACAGAAGAGAAGCCAAGACTCTCATAAAGCTCTGAACAAACTGTGTGCTAATCAAATACTGGAGAGATAAGGCTTCCTGTTCATATTTACCACTAAAATGGATTAAGAATTTAAGAGATGTAAAGGAATGAACTAGAGACCTGGCATTAGAGCTGGATGGGAAAATCAGTGGGTCTGATTATTAACAGGACTCTAAATGTACTCAAGTTGTCAGTGTCACACCTTGAGCCTCATGCCTATTAAACAGACCTGGAATTATTTGATGAGTATTATGACACACTCAATACCTGCTTTCGTTTATATTCATGGCAACGATTTCCAATAAAGCTCTACTGCTTCACCTCCACTTCCCTCCTCCCCTTCACTGTTCCTCTCTCTCTTTCTATAACTACTAAAAAGAGCGCAAACAATGAGAGAAGATATTCACTGACAACTACAGGCTTTGCATATTGATCAGTTCCTGAGGTTACCACACTTCAAACAGGGAGGAAAAAATCAAAAAGGCAGAAATGATAGATGTCAGCTGTCTGGAGAAGCCACTGTTAGTATCCATGCCCCTACCAAATTATTCAAAATGAACCAGAACAGCTCAGACGACAGCTTCACAGCTTGTTGGAAGGCTAGCCCAAATCATAAGATATGTCTCTTGCTCATTCATCCTGTCCCAGCCTTCCAGACACAGTGCAGCCCTCACACATGCCCATACCATAGCAATGGACTCCATCCCCAGTATAGCCCTCCAGGCATTTACAGACATAGCTCCCTTCCGTATTGATGCAGCCCGACACATTTCGATCACAGTGGTCCATATTTACAGCACACTCATCAACATCTGTGAGATAAAACAAGGAGACAGGACACATGGGTCATGAAACCATCAAGGAAATCAATTAAGAGAAACATCTACATCGTGAATCTCCCTCAGACTGTGCTGTCACTTGTCATTTATGCATCTGAAGCAAATCAAAAGAGAAGGACTTTGTGGTCTTTTTTGGTATGAAATTCAAGGGGGATGTTCTAAAGAACCTAAGAGAGTCAACTGGAGACCTAGAGGCTCCACAAATACCACTTTCTTTTAAAAAAAAATCTGTTTGAAAGAAATTCAAAACAAAGTCTTACATTAAAGAATCATAAAATCCTTCAGGATGGAATAGACCTTTAAGATCACTGAGAAAATTTGTTTTGTGAAAGAACACATAAGCTTACAATTTTTTTCCCTTTCTATTGCAACATAAACTCCTCTAGTCTTCATGCTTATCCATCAAATGGTATTTTTTTCTCTTTCTAACACCTTTGTCTCCTGCCCTTTATGAGAGGACAAAGTTCTTCCATTTATGTTGCATGCAAGTCCAAAAATTTAAAGACCACCCTAAGCAATGTGTTGCATGGTTGTTAGTCTCTAATGCTGGAAAGAAAAAAGAGCATCACTTTTATATAAACATAACATCAGGAATCCTAATTTTTTAAGAGATTCCTTAATACAAACTTCTAAATTATACATCATCTATCATGTCTATGGACATGATATTAGGCGATTTTTAAAAAAGAATACATGATGCTTTTATTCCTAGTATCCCCATTATGTCTTGTTAATATCATTAGGATTAACTCTCATGACTCAGGGGCAAATCAGGCATGTGACAATTAGCCATTTCAACTCACTGCTCTCTGCTCATCATCCCTTTCATACTATTGACCTTTCTGTCATGGCTCACACAGCAGAGCTGCCAATGTGAAAGAAGATAGATTTTCTTCCTCTCCCACAGTCGACAGTTTTCCGAAAGTTATATTAATGTCTTTTGTTACCATAGCATGAGTTCCCCTTCCTGATAAATCCTTTCAAACACTGGCACACAGCACCATCTTCCAGCAAAACACACTCTGCATTGACGTAACATTCGAGTGCAGTGCAGTCATCTTGATCTGTAGCATAGACAAAGCAAAAAAAAACCCCAATCCACTAGATGTATTTGGAAAGATCAAAAGAGGTACTGTGTATATATCAAAGAAAAAACAAAACAAAACCAACCCCCTCCCAACTAAACAAACAAAAAACTAAGGAAACCAGAACATACAGTCAAAGTTTGAAACTTAGCTCTCCAGGATTATTGATGACAAGCCAAAACAATCATTAGGGCTGTTCACTTTGTCTAGATGGAGTTGACATGTCATTTAGTGTAAGGATTTCTGAATAATGTATTCAAAACCTAGAAAATTTAATGATCTAGTGTCATCAAACATAGGTAGAATTCAATGGTTTTACTTCAGCTTTGTTCAGAGGTATTTAATAGACTTGAAAAATCTAAGGGAGAGACTTTTCCAAGTGTTCCAAATTAGAATGTTTATTCTCTAGACCAGGATAATATTATCAATTTTTTTTGACATAGCAAAGGAACATGGAGACAAACAAAAAAAGCAGTCCTGCCTGGCATAACTGCACAGACCCAACTTCTTGTAAGAACGTTAAGAGCATGAATGCCACCAGTCTTGACACTGAGTTTTTCTTAATTTAAGGTCTATGATTTCTTTCTGTTCTATAAACCTGTTCCAAGACTCACAGTAAATATAAGGAAGACAATCATCAGACTCTACCTGATACCATGATTTCAGCCATCAAAAAAATTATTTTCTGCTTTTGCCCACTGTCCATATCCTTAGAAATCCCATTGCTCTGTGTGCTCTGGAGCACGATCTCTGGTGGTGGCATTGGCACTACCTCCTTGTGCATAGAGACACTTCCTGAAAATTACAAGAAAAAAGTGACACAGACTATTTAAATCTACTGAATTAACCTTCTGATTTTCTATCCCTTGTCTACTTTCCAATAATCATGGTGGTTTCCTTTTAAAATAAACATCAGTATCCTCCCAGACTTGCCTGTTTCTGACCTCAAGTCATTCCTAAAACCACTCACTGGTGGGTTTCCCCAAAAGCAAAAGAGGAGGAATGTGACATATTGCTCACAATAGTTGTCAGCACTGCACACTTCTCTTTCACTGCTAAAATGCCAAGGGAAAAAATTACTGTGGTCAGACTTGTCCCAAGACAACACCCCATCATTCCTTATGTTAGAGCAAGGGGAATTTTTTCAATACTATCTGTCAGGATCCTCAAAGGTTTAAGGAGGGTCTTTTTTGGAACTGGAAGATTGTACCTTCTGTTGAGTTGGAAGAATCCAGAGCATGACAGGTTTTTCCATCTTGAGTTTTCCCAAATCCTGGATGGCACTTGCAATGTACAATTCCAAAATTGTTTTCACAGATCTGATCACAGCCTCCATTCTGATAAAGGCAAGGATTTGCCCCTAATGCAGAAAAACAGGAAACTTAACAAGCTACTTCTTTAGTCAACATCTTCATGTAGATGTGCAAAGCTGGGAAAAGGAATAAGGACTGACAAAAACTAGAACACTTTTTTAAATTCTTTATTTAACAACAGATCCATATAGTAAAGCATAGATATTATCACTTAGTCTCGGGCAGGAAATCACATTTGCATACTCTGTATCTAATATATGTACCACATTTGTTATTATTTTATTCACTTTATTATTTCTCCTTTAATATTTAGAGTCCTAACATTCCCTGAAAGAACATTACAAGAGCATAGGGAACCTGTGATTACCTTCTCTCAATCCTAGTCTATTAAATTATTTTTTCTCTTACAGGAGAATTGTTCCAAAGAGAAAATCAAATTATTTGATCCAAAACTAATGGATATTACAAAATCTTTCTCCATGGCATTTGTTATTATTTGTGTGTGTGAGGAGTGCTAATAAACTAGGATAAATAGGAATTTAAAGACTGCGGCCTCGTGGCAATTGACCAGCATCTATTCTTGGGCATGAACATAAATTTACAAAAACTGTCAGCATTCCTGGGACACATGCCCAGATGATGCTTTCAATAAATGCCAGTCTGACTATGCAAGGCTTTTAAAAGAGATGATTTCTGAGAACATAATCATCTCCCCAAGGACATCTATTCTACCGACATCAGTGAACAAGAAGAGGCTGGAAGGGAATGACTGCTTAGTTTTTCCAGTATACCTGGTTTCGCCAAAGGATGCACTACAACCATTGATGAGGGTCTCAGCATGCTGCCTCGAAGACGTACCCTGTTTTGGCCGGTCTTCTTATCCACCCTCATTAGTGATGGCCTAGCCCAGTCAGAAAACCAAAGGTGGTCCTCAAACACCGCTACAGCAAAAGGGTGGCCTACAAAGACATTAGATTTATCATTTCCACCTCTGCAGAACATACACAAGAAACCATGTAAACAAAAGAATTGTCTTCATAAAGGTCAACTTCTAACATTGGGCATAGCCATAGCCAGTTCTTCACTTTGTTTGCTCAGGGGCAGGGATAAGTGTCTGTGAACGATGGACCATGGGCACATGTTACTTATGCTCTTAGTGAAGGAGGTTACGACAATTGCCTGGCTCAGTACAGTCTGTATACTTCAGGTGATCTCCAAAAAGATGAAGTTCGCAAAATCCTTCTACCTCAGACACTGTTATTTCTTGAGGCAGCATAGGGACCAGCCTTTCAGAATTGAAGTGACTCCCTCCTCTGCCAGTAAGTGGCCCAGCACAGAGCTGCTGAGGTACACAGCTCCTTTTTCAGTCTTCACACAACAAGGAAGAGAGGAACTCATGTCATCTGTCATCTTGCATAAGTGTACTGATACAGAGCAGCCTGGGAGTTACAGACACTGTATCCACAGATCCACATTAGGACCCCAAACCCAGTGTGTGGTCTCTGCAAGCGCCAAAAGTACACACAAGTGCAATACAGTGGGCCACATGTGCATGTAGCCAGCTAACTAACAGAAACAGCTAACACAAACCACAGGAGGCAATGGATCATCCGGGTAGCTTCCTCTTTTTTCACTGATGACAACAGTATGCTAGACAACAGCTTCAACCTTACATGACTAGCAGTAGGTGTGAGAAATTCCACCCCAAGTGGAACAGGAACTTTTCCTTGGTAGCACATTATCCTTTCTAGGAAAACTCAGATCCCCAGAGATAAGCGCAGCAATTCAGGATCCAAAGGACACTTTCATATATAAGAGCAGACATAAAGATCTTTACAAAATGATTCTGACTCTTTTTAATATCTCTCTCATGATAGAAAATTGTCATTAGTCCATATAGGACTAAACATTCTTTCTGTACACTTAGAAATCTCCTGATTTCAAATTAGACTTTGGGCAAGCTTTTTGCAATGGAATGTAAGAACACATACTATTCTTCCGTGGATGTCCACTAGGTTTCAGAGTGGGTGCTTCCTGGCTTAAGCAGGTTTGCTTGGTGCTGATCCTTCCTCACAGTCTGCATGCGCACAACACTGTACTGCTGCAGTCTGAGCCTCTCTGAAAGGTATGTTTTGTAGGCACCTGATTTTTATGATCTGTGTTTTTGCTTTTTGATGTAGACCTCAACTGGGTGATGTTTAATTTCAGTAATGAAATTGGGATCCCAAAATGTATTAGTTTAAAAAAAATAAAAATAAAAAAAATCAAAGCTAAGCAAACAGGCAAACAAAACAACAGATAAATTAGAACCTTGGAGAAGGAGTATGTGTTGGTATATCTAAAATACACCTTGCAAATAAACTGAAAAAACCCACTCCTATATAAAAAAAAATTCTAAGACACTGTTTAAGTGTTCTTATGTGCTAAGTTGAAGAGCATGTTGTTGACACTTCACTACCTCCACTGAACCATGCTTAATCACCGGCCTTGGTTCTTAGCTTTTCTTTCCATTGAATTTGAGCAACTAGCCCAAGATCTAGATGCTGTCCCCACCCAAACATTTGCTCATAGTTTTAGGATCTATAGCTTGCACTATCCACAAACAGCACTGTGCTTTGATCAGCAATTCCTTAACCTCTTAATTTACAAATACATTAAAGATTAAAATTAGAAAGGTAGTGTCAATCGATGGAGATAGCAAGAACAAAAAAAAAAAAAAATTAATAATCTCATGAACCTTTCCCAGAGCAGTGCAAACCTAAATGGTTACATAAACAACAGGAGTGGTTGTGTTCGTTGCCTTGGGCAGGTGCTAACGGGCTGTTTTACTTACAGCTGAAAATGGCGTTAGCAGAAGAGAAGTAATTTACCTATTTTGCATGCAGCAGTGCTGAATGAGCTCTCAGTACCGGAGCACTAGAGGGAGCTGCTGTAATAAAAATTCATGTTACAGCAGAACGCCTATGAAGAGGTGCCACCTTCCCATCCTCCAGTGTACAGCTGTCCAAGAAAAAAAGCTGAATTCTGGTCTAACTAAAAGCATTAGCAAAACATCAGGATATCAAGTCTCTCTGCTTCTCTAAATTCATACCCCTATAGGCCTTCAATTCTTTCACTTCTTTGCATACAGTGTTGATGTCCTTTTCTCCCACCTCCAAACAGCTGTATTACTGCTCCAAGCCTATCTCTTTTCTCATAGCCCATGTTTTTACAGTGCTCCTAGCTTTCCATCTCTGTTTTCTTCCTGTAAGACATTGTCCCATTTCTTGTGGAGGAACGAAGTGAAACTTTGTTCAGGCTTCAAAGTCCTTCTTCGCAGATCAGTTGCAAGGTGAAGTGCACAGCAAAATATGCACAGGAGAGGAAAGAGAGGAAGGCTGGAAAGTCACTCTGCTGAGGCCCTTTGATGTCTTCTGAACTGGAGAACAATGATTCCTCCAAGACCTCACTCTGCTCAAGCCATAACAACTACCAGCAAAGTGTATAAATCATTTTTCATTTGATATCTAATGTGTTTAGAATCATTCCAGTGTTCGACATTGCAGATGCAAGTTTGCTGCTCTAGAACCTTAACAATAAAGATTAACTGTCTTTCAGTTTATGTCTAAATAACTCACTGATATAATAAACACAGCAAAACCTGAATTAAACTAAGCAGCCATGCATGAAACAAGTAAATCACATTTTAAAATTTTTCCTTATTTTCATTTTTCTGTGAAGGCAGAGAAGTGCTCTGTGCAATGCAAAGCAGCTGATTAGTAAAAGCAGACAATGTTAGAAAGACATACTTTTGCTAAACTGGATAAAGGTCAGCTGGGTAACAGAATAAAGAATGAAAGTGAGGCCATTAACCTCAACAGAGTTGTATGGGATCTACAGCACAGCTGCTGGCCAGTAATTTCCATGCACATATGCAAGTACACACACAGATTGACAGGTAATTATCAACGCCAAAACCTCACCTACATCATTCTGTGCAAGAATTTGACGACCAGAACCATCCAGATTTGCGCTCTCAACCACTGACTGCTTAGCATCACACCAGTACACTTTGTCTGCTAAGTAGTCAAGAGCTATTCCACTGGGCCACACCAGACCAGTGCTGGCTATAACTCGACGATCGATGCCTTCTAATGAAGAGCTGTCAATCCTGGGATTGACCCCCATGTCAGTCCAGAATAATCTCCTTTGGAAAACAAAATGAATACGGGAAGTCAGTAAGCAAATGTTTGTCCTCCTCTCCATGGAGTTCTTTCAAAGCAGAAAGGTCAGATCAGAGCAATACAGCCCCAAGTCACAGGAGAAAAAGTGAATGCTTCAAGCAAACATATTGGCTTCTGGTCTTTTCACACTTGCCATAAGACTCCAGGTGATTACACTGGGACTTATGCAGAATCCTCTGTTCACTGGCACAAAACCTTTGAAAAACAACTCCCACCTATGCTAATTGCCAGATCTTTATATCTGCTTTTTGATTTTCCACATGACAGCTGATAGTGGTTTAGCAAACCCAGACAATAGAAGACAATGCATTAGCCAGCACCTTGTCTAAAAGATGGCGTAATAATACACAAATGGAACCAAAATTACCCACTACCCATGGAAAACAAGCAAGAGTACACAGGTTATTTTGGCTTTAAAAAATAAGCCAGTATATTTTCTTCTTTTAATAAAATCATGATTTTCAGGATCTCACTCTAAACTCCTGTGTGTTACTCACTGGATGCTTACTGTTTTTCAACAAACAGAGAGTGCTAGATGGCAACTTAAAAACGAGGATACCAAAATCACGAATTACTTCTGAAATTCGAGCTCTAGTCTTCCTAGGGATAAGTTGCCTCTGTCAGGTTTACTGAAATAACCCACAGATTCATTTAGCTTTATTTACTGAAGTAGTTTTGCTGTAGCCAATGCAGGGATCAGTATTTTCAATAGTCTTAATTGTGTTTCAAATCTCTCTTCAATATTTACAGCTATGGACATTGCCATAATATCTGTTCATCCTTTCACCATTAACCTTCTAAAAATGAAGATTTTAGTGATGTTTTCTTTTCCCTTTTCCCTTGTACCCTTTGCATCTACCAGTAATTCTAAAAACAATCCCCCAGAACCTACTCATTCTACAGAGTTTTCCTGCAAAATGTCTCTATCATGTTCAACCTCTATTGAAAAATTCTTTCAGGTCTTTTATGTCCAAAGGGAAACTAACAAAACACCGTCCCCAACTTTGCTGCATTCCTTGATTCATGGGTACTTAGTTATAGCAGGATATGAACATCAAAAAAATAATTTAAAAAATCAACATATTTAAAATGCTCCTACTACAGACATATTGACTGAAATCCATGGACTTTGCCATTGATTAAGATGGACAGAATTGCATCAAGAGTTTAAACACACAAATCTCCTGTGATCATCTCGACACTAGTTAAGAAGTTATAAGGTGCATTTAAATCAACAAATCTCCACAACAGTAGATTAGGTTTAGTTTCCTAAGAAACTGAACCATGGCCAAAAAACTACTTTGTAAGTACTATTGGTTAAAAGTGACTACCTTCTTTACACTAATAGATACGGAACCATCGAAGTTTGTAGTGTGGTCCTTACAAACTGTCAGAGTGACTTTAGTTGCTCATGAAGCTTTAGCTTAAACTGCATACAATATCATTAATGCTTCTGGTATTTTCTTTTAAATCTGTATGAGAAATGAACATGTCTCGACTCAAAAGAGAAATCCAGTAATGAAACAATGAAGTTCACAGAGCTCTGCAATGCAATGACTAACCTACAAGGAGACTAATGCACATTTTGACTCTCAAAAGGGCAAGGCTGGCATGGTCATTTTTAAAAAACCTCCCTAAGTATTTCATGATTAACTGCATTTTTCACTCCTTACTTAGCAAATGGGTGAATGGCAATCCCTCGGGGCTGGGAGATATCCTCCCAGATGATCATTTTTCTTTGCATTCCATTCAGATTGCTCCTTTCAATGCACGCCTTCCTGCAATACATAGGGCACAGTTAAGTCCTCCCTGCTATCTTTTTAATTACCTTCTCAGGCAGAATGTACTAAGATTTTACATCAATTTAGTTTAGCTGTAATAAATAAATTTACAATGACAGAAAATAATCCCGCTGATGTGGGGAGTCCAGTTGTTTTATCAACCAGTAATTCAAGTTACAGCCTCATTATTTGGTCCAAGGCATGATGATAAAATACCTGCTGCTCTGCAGAAGACATTAAGTTCGCCTTTGGGCAAATAATGAGTTGGAAGTATGATCACTAACAGATAAATGTTAGCTCTAAAGGGATTCAGGAGGAAAACCAGCTCCTAACCAAATGCCATTATCAAATGTATAAAGAATTTTTCTAAATAGTACTTTTATGCAGCATTTTTCATCCAGAAATCCCCAATCATTTTACATCTATTTTTCAGGAAAGAATGAGGCTAAAGTTCTTAAGATCACTCATAAAATATGTGGCCAAGTCAAGTATAGAATCTAGTTTGCCAGTCTTCAAATTCAGCCTTTTTCCAGAAAACTAATTTTATTGCTGCAATCTTCACTTTGCCAAACAAAAATCAGCCTCTACCTGAAAGCCTACAGCCTTCCGTGCCTATCTAAAATTTCAAAGAAAGGCCACACAGAGATGGAAGGAGAAATATATTCCTTCAAATATGCAATACAAACAGATAAATGCAATGATTGAAAAGAAAGTTGCCAATTCCATTTCTCAGATTCCCCCTGGACTGTTGTCTTATAGAGACAAACACCATAATTTTCTATTTCACAAGAAACATTGGCATATTTCTACAGGAGCATGATCATGTAGACAAGATTGCACCTATTAGCAAGGAAGTGGACTAGCAGCATATTTATAAGGGAGAAGGAGGGTGATCTGAACATTCAAAATTACTTTCTATTGCCTAATGAATTATGGATTATACTGAAACATCATGACCACTCTTCAAGGAGTCTTCACTGTGTGTTTTGATCTGGCACTGCCTTTTCAGCAAAGGTCAGTTTTGTTTCTCTCAGCATGTAATTTTAGGTATCAGCTGAAATTAAAGTCATATTGTCATTCCTCTTTTAGCAGAGATAATTGACAAAGACCCTCCAATAGTTTAAAGGGGCATGATTCTAGCTGCCAACAACATTGACTTCTGCCCAAGACATACTCGATACATTAATATTCTTTTTTAAATGTATATATAAAGATATACCTATATATGCACACACACACAGAGTGTATGTATATAAATGAGTGTAAACATATATTCACATGCACATGCGCACATGCGTATATGTATATATGTGGTACATGCTTTAGATTCCTTGCAACTGAGTCCAAAGCCTTGCTTCTTGGAAAGACAAAGATAAAAATACAATAACAGACTCAAAGGGAACTTCCAGCATTTCAGTTTTGAAGAACTTTCCAACTGTATATACTTGAGATTAAAACTAACCAATCAGAATGTGAAGCACTACTGAATTAGAGTGATATCTCAGCTATTTCTGTATCACCAGTCATTTATTCCAAATATTTTATGGCATGCTTCAACATAAATTCACTGTGGAGCATGTACCCTCTGTCTGTCCAATACAATTTTCGGTTAATCCAGTCCACAGCGAGGCCTTCGGGTGTATCTATAGCTTCATGAACAACTTTTTCACGATTTGAGCCATCCAGATTAGCTCGTTCTATCCATTTCAAGGCAGTGTGAGCAAAGTAAATCTGTAAACAAATAACAGGTGAGGTGTTATTAGTTCCCATCTCACTTTCTACTCTACTCCCCTTGTCTAATAGTTGCACTTCTAAACCAACTTTTCATCTTGAAAGTTTCCTAAACTGCTTATTTACAAAAAGCTGCACAGGTAACCTGTGATCCCTGACAAAATAAAAAGGCACTTTGTCCTTCAACCAAGATGACTTCTACAGGCAGCTTGTGCTTAGCTGTAAATCCTAGTTGCCCTATATAGAGCCCTCTGAATATCCTGTGGTTTTGTTTCAGCAAGCAGCTCCCTCATATGAAGCACAGCCAAGGAAGCAAAAAGAAATGTTATTTTACTGGCTGCTCATACTGAAAAGGGAGAAGCAGAGAGAAGATAGTAGCAACCTGTGTGTGTCAAGGAGCTGGGAAGGGGAAAAGGAGTTATATAATTTGCTCATATTTTTTTCTTTCTTTCAGCCTGCAGTTACCTTAATTTTTTACCAGGTGTCTATTCTGTAAGGCTCTAAAATTTTCAGAAGAGGCTTCTCAGTTTTGGGCTGAAAGAAAAGTTCTCTGCTGGTGGGGAAACTAGGCTTGTGGTTTCCAAGGATGAGGAAAGAAAATTTGTCTTGTATTCAATACCCAGAGGGAGCTATACACTGTATGGCAGAACCATATGAAAAACAATACTGAGGCTTTCCTTGGAAATGGTAACAGCAAAACAAATACCTTTGTTTTGATGCTAACCAAAAGGTCAAACAAAACAGGGGGGACCCTCTAGCATTAAACCAGTTAGTTTAATACCATGGGAGCACAAAGGGATGCTTCCTTGCTACTCTGCTCTGCACTGACCAGACTGCTGCAGCCTGGCAACCCTCTTGCATGTCCCCTTACCTCTGTACTGCCCACCCCAATGCCACGCTGAGCTCCCCACAGGAAGAGAACACGGGTGCACACCCAGTGTCACTGGCATAGCTGATTTACATTTGGCACAGCACAGAACAACTGCCAGTTCTCCAGCAGGGCCCTATTTCAGGAGCAAGTGGCAATGTTCCAGAAGCGCCTGAAATGCTCCTCCTGTAAATGCAGATCTGGTAACATTTACATTTGTTTGGCCATATCCATCTGGGCCTTGAGATGCTTCCAACAGCTTAACTGAGTTCATCATTAACTTTCACTGTACCAACCAGTATTTCTTTGCAACACTTTTAGATGTAAATAAATCTCATCACAGGCAAATATAACTATCTGCCAGAGAAGGTTTAGCAAAGCACAGCTGAACTCCTATTATTCCCAACTCTGAAGGCAAGGAATAGGGTGGAAAGATACAGCCACACAGACAAACAGTTCTTTCTGCAGAGAAGACTCCTGTTTCCCAACAGCAATATCTTACACATGAGGAATATATTTTGTAAGAGTAATAAACTCAGTGGGCATTCAGCAGTTTTGCTGAATAATGTCAGGACACGGGAGGTAATCTGTGTTAAGATTACTCCTACATTTAGTAGGGATTGTGGGATTTAGCTGTACAGAAAAAAAAGATGCTATTGCTTTTACCTCTACACAGCAAAAAAACCCCACAATGTATTTCCAGAAAACAACACTGCAATCTTAATGGAGAAAATTTATCAATCACACAATAGTTCTTTGAAATTGAAATCATGCCCAAAGTGAATTTAGAAATCCGGATTCTCTGTGAATTATGATTGTCAATGTACAAAGCACATTCAATTAGTGAGTAAAAGATGAAACTGTTCAGTTAGTTTTTGGCAGCTTGTAGCTATTGTGCTCCTAGACAGGCAATAGAACAACGAGCAGCACTACGTGTAATCCAGATTGCTGACAGCAGAAAGGTTAAGGCACATGAAAGCTCAAGCCATTTGTCCTTGCAACACTTCGAAATCCTCTCATTTTTAATGCCTTACCTTATTTTCCACTGGATCAGAGTCCAGTGCTAAGACTATTCCCATCTGCCAGTCAAGTAAACTTGTATAATCTGTTCCATCAAAACTGATCTGGCGGATATCTTGGCCATTTGCAAACAACAAAAATGGCTTAGGACCTGTTGATTAAAATTTGCCAGTATGTTAATTGCACTAGATTCAAAGTGTTCTCTAACTTGCATTACTACCTAGGTAGCATTGAAAGTAGGTAATGGTAAAAGACAAAATAAGGAACAGAAGCACAGAGAAATTATGGCAATTTTCCTACATTCCACTTGCCTCAGAAATTGAAGATAAATGTGAATATAAGTTTTCAGCATCAGCCTCAAAATTTTTGATAAAGGCAGTGACTAGCCCCACTGTGTTTCACACTGAGTGACTTAGCCTCAAAATCATCTCTCTGCATTTCACAGCATCACCATAAATGCCAGAATACTCGACTTTTGCACATGAGAATTCTTTCACACTAAAAGTAAGAAAAATGTTGTCCTCCAAAAAATAAAGCTTTTCCCTTATTCCTGAAAAAAATCACAAACTTCTTTTCCTCCTCTCTCTTGGGCAATTGCATATACCTTACTGCTCACCGTGGTCTGCCCTTTTCTTAGAAGGAATAGAAGGGTCTGAAACCCAAATGTGCACAGCAAACACCTGGGCTTCCTGGGGTTAGTGGAGGAGAAATATCCTTGTAGGAAAAGTCCTTCAACAGGCTATTTCCTGTCCTCTTTTCCAAATGTAGGGACCTCAGCCCCAGTTCTGTAAAACTGGGCAGAAACTATGCCCACATTTATTTGAGGGCACAAAAACCTGCATATTCAGGATGGACCTCTGCAGTGTGGGAGCCCAGAGTGAAATGTTGAAGTTGGATCATAAATTGAACCCTCTGTGAGGGAGACTGAACTATATAGTGGTACTTGTTCTGGTTTATTTCCAAAACAGGTTATCTTTCCTAACAACTAATACTTCAGAAGTTTCACAAAGTAACCTAAAACCAGTGCAAAAAGGGATCCTAGTTTTACCATCCACTTTAAAAGACTCAAAAATGATTTTGCTTTTATTGGCAGAAATATACAGGCACACCAAGACACCAACCTATAGCTGTGCAGTGCTTTCTGTCTCGCTGAAGCTTATATCCAGGAAAACAAGCACACTCCCAGGAGGATGGGCTTAAAGAAGAGCACATCTGACTGCAGCCACCATTATCTGGAGATGTACAACCTTAAACAGAGCATTTGTAAAATTTTATTGTGCCGTTCTAAAAAAAAATAAAATACAACATAATCAGAGATATAAGAGAATGATTCACTCTGCTCAGGATTTCTACAGTCCAAATCATCACAGTGACTGGTAGATTTACCAAAAGGCCTCCTGCTGAAAGCAGAAGTCCAGTGAAGAGATAACAAATTAGTAGTAACTTGTTACTGAGTTTTTCCTGAAAATTTACAACACAAGATAGGGGATGGAAGGGTGGGACACATGAAGAGAGAGGTCTTCCATGTGTTCATTGTTTCATTTTTCTCCCATACAAATATCATCCCATCTACAGCAGAGTAATACATTTTATCAGACTGTGCACACCATGCAAAGAAACAGCAAATTAATGCAATTCTCTCCCCAGAACTTAATTATGCTAGGATGGAAAATTGATACTTTCTGATACAGCAAACCAAGATTTCATATAAAAAGAAACTATTCTTTTCTTATTTTTTCTATTATATTCTCAATGCCAACCTGAGCTTACTCAGTGGAGTGTCCCTAGCAAAACAGCAATAATGACTGAAAGTTTGCATATAGTAGAGTCCATGTATGAAAGGGATTAAAGGGGAAAGGGTTTTTTTTTCAAGGCAGGAGGCTGGCAGTAATGGAGCTATCTTGATCCCTAAGACTAAAAAGACATACTTGAAAAATTACAGTCCTTTGAATTTGGAAAAATGCTAGAATGGAGAATGACATATTAGTGAACATAGCAGCTTCAAGTATTCTGACTACAAAAATTCCATTTTTGGGTAAGTGACTGTGAACGTGGGCTGCATGATGTCAAAAAGTCATCTTCAGATTTCAACCAAACCTTAATTTTGTACATATATTTCCCCTCAAATATAAACTTTAGATGTCCCTTGCAATAATAATCTGTAACATGCCTTGATCTGTGCTGACAACAGAGGAATTTGGCCTGCAAACACTGGATGCTGCCACTAATAAAAATCTATTAAAAAATGAAGATGAATATTGTTCATCTCAGCACTCAAAGCACCTGACATTCTACTGCCTCCTATCTTGTACAACATTTACAGCTGTGTAAAATGAATGTAAAATGCCTTCATTCACTTCTGGCTCTCAGTGCTAAGAATAAACAGAGTTTGGCAGTCACTACAGCTAGAAAAAAATGTTACTTACCCGTGCATGCTTTGCCATCCACTTTGAGTATAGATCCTTCTGGACAAAAGCAAACAGGGCCTTTAGATGTTTGAAGGCAACCATGGCTACATTCGGTGTCATTACTTGTACAGGAAATTAGCTCTACAGTAATTTAAAAAGAGGAAAAAAATATAAAATGATGATAAAAATTTTTACTAAGCCCTCAGAAAGAGATATTAACACTTTCTTAAATAGCAAAAGAAGGGGGGAAAAAATGAAATAAATGAAATAAATAAATAAATAATACGCCTCTGCAGTGTTTCTGAGGTTTGTTTTCCTTTGTTTCTCTTTTTTTCCAAGTTTTTTTTCCACACCCTCTCCTAATCACAGCACAGGAGAAAGCCAAAATTGCTGAGTCCTGAAGCCATTACACTTATCAGACATTTTCCAAAATTCTATGAGGAGGTGTTATCAAAATAGAGGTAATTTTGAAAACTTTCTTTCTTACAGTTCATCAAAAATAGATCGGGTTTTGAAAACTACAAGGAATTTATACTGAAAGAATAAGTATAAAACACAAAGTGAATGAGGAAAAACTACTTTCCTACTACTCCAGGTGTAACAGAGCTAGAATCAATGAAAGCAGGAGATGAACCTTCCTGAAACAAAACTATATTCCTTAGTGTCAATTTTAGAAGCTGTAAGGGCAAAACCATCTGAGGACCAGGCAATAGCTTTCCTTTACTTTCCATTAGAATTGTTGCAGTGCCAACATTTTTTTGAGTATTTCTTTCACGCAATTTCACAGGATATGCTCCTTCCACCTTCCATATTGCAGTGTTCCATCTCATTATCCCAGTTCTGGTGCCATATGGCAACACCCACTGGAAGACCGGAACTAAGGAAAGTTTCCCACAGCTGCTTCTTTGAATCAGCTGCATACACTGGCTTAAATGGTGCATATCTTTTGCAAATATTGCTTCTCCAGGGCAACTCCAATCTGGACTGGACTCTTGTAACTGCTTAAGCACAGAGAATACGGTCAAGAAACTATCTTGAGTTTCTTTCTGACCAGAGCTTGTGGCTTTAGATGAAGAGCTTTGTAAAGGACTTGAAGAAAAAAGCATCAAAATATCTCTCTCTCTCAAGTTGTGTAGTTGGTGATACATCTGCCTTGTGCTGCAGTAGTTAAGAAGTTACACTGTCTGTGCTGCATCCCTAACCCGTGTTGGAAAAACTGTCTAATTTGAGCCACTAGAAATGTAGGCATATAGTTCAAGATGGCCATCCAAAGTAGGACAGAGTTGCATGGTGTCTAAGTGTTGTTTTGGACACAAAAGGATATCCCACCTCCCAACAGCCTCTGGCTGCAGCACTCACAAGTTGTCTGTCACAGCTTGCTGCCTTCTGCAGCTGTCACACACACCCTGGACCCCCACATTTGGGTCACTGAAAACTGCTCCTGGCTCCCACTTAGTAGAGAGGAAGAAGTGATTCTTGGAAGTCTAAAAGAGGTAGACTGACTGACTACTAGAGTAGTGATATTTAATATACCCTAGGTCCTGATCCTGCCATGATCCAGACCGAACTCACTGGTGCGCACTGGCACTCCTACTTGGAGCTTATACCAGTATTTTATTTCCAAGGAAACAAGGTAGAAGGACCTTTGTCTACGCATAAGTTTTTCTTCAAAAGTGACTGGGAATATCCCAAAACTTCAAAACTTGGATCCTTTTCACACTTGGTGTTCTAGACTTAATTTAGAAAGCCTAATTTGTAGGTTGAGTATACACATTTAATTCCATTAATGTCATACACATTAGCAATGCTATCGGTCCTGAGCTGAAAAGAAAAAAGATGATGCTATAAGTTGCTCATTCAGAGAGTGGGAAAATTCTTGTGCAGGATAACCAAAGTGAGTAAAATTCAGAGACCATATTTAAAAAGCTATAACTGCTTATCCACCTGGAACATGTCACAGAGCCTAACGTGAGCGAAGAGGTCTCTCTGGAGATCTGAATTTCCCCCCACCACCACCCTGAAGAGGCCTATATGATTACTCACGTGTAACTTACACTTCCTTAAACATGACATCTGAAATTGGTTCACCCAGTTTAAGTTGATCCTACTTACATAATAAGGGATCAGAAGTGAGCAACACAACATACAAAACTTTCAGCAGTTCCAGTGTTAAATGAGGACTCCCTCCAATGTGATGCCTCAAGTGTTTATGTATTACGGCTCCTTACCATGACAGGTTTTCCTATCAGGCAGCAGAACAAAACCTCTCGGGCAGGTGCAGTAATAGGAACCAGGGATGTTCACACAGCCCAAAGTACAGCCATGATTCCAAAAGCCGCATTCATTAATATCTGCCAAAAGAAACACTTGTTGCATCTGAATAACATCAACCTGTGTCAGGGAGTAGAAACAAAGAAACACTCTGCAAGAAGTACGTCTTTTTTTGCATTCATTTTACAAAAATATGTTTTTTCCTAATATATTACAAAAACACAAGTTTGCAGACCTCCTTCAAATCAGCATTAAGAAACTTCTAGCAAAACTTACTCAGGCTGCATGTGTCCAGCATAGGTGCCTAAATAACTTCCAAAAGTTCTGCCTTTCTGTACAGATTTTAATGCCATTTAAATCCTGCATCCAAAAAAATTCATAAGACACCTTCTTCAGACAAAAATTCTTTTAAAAAATTGGGCTTAGACATGACTTAAGTAGAAATCTCAAAACACAGAAGTGTATTAGAAGTCAAAATTCAGAAAGCAATCCTCGAGAATTTCCTGAGAATTAGAATGCTGCTGCTCAGGCAGGTTTATAAATCCTGTAAGCTAGGAATTTTGATGCCTTTACATCTTATAAAATCTGGTCATGTAGTGAAAAAGATGCTTCCAAAAGTATTGTCTATTATCAATAGTCATTTTAGATTTTTAATAATACAATCCAGATTAAAACAATTAGAAGTATGTTAAGAATTGGCGATATATCTGTTTTCATTTTTATTTAAAAATTAAATTAGCTTATAGAAGCATGTCTACTTATCTGAAGCTGCTTTACCTACTCAGGCTAAGATCAAAATTTCTCGAAGAATGGCACCGGTGACACATTCATAAGTCTCTTTTAGACTGTTTCACAACACGGAAGGACACAAAACTTAAATGGCACAACTGGAATTTTTAAAATCTCGTTGTGTTTTTTCATACTCAATAAGTAAAAGAACAGAAGAATTTTCTTTCATCTGGTGGAATAAAGCTGATGAGAGATTCACATATTACCTTCACAAAACTGTTTATTTCTACTTAAAATAAAGCCAGTAGGACATTTACACCGATGAGTCCTTGAGTCTGGCCTGCAGATTCTTCTTCTGCATTTTTCTTTACTCAAATCACAGATTCCTTTTTCTGAAAGAACAAATAGAGTGTAAGCATAATGGAGTTCTTACCATATCAACCTTCAAGTAGAATGATGATCACGGATGTATTTTCTTCTCAACATCTGCTTGCTCAACCTGAGGAACTTCTTATCAACAGAAAATAACTTCTATTATTTTCTGTTGCTAAAATCGGGCCAAAAAAATCACTGTAAAAATGAAAGTCCTTGGAAGACTAAGAGTAGGTCTGTGCAAACGATCATTTCCAGCTCTACATCAGCACAAGCAGATCTAGAGAGTCTGAAGTAAGGGATGGTTTGATTTGGGTGCATACCTATAGTGACTATGAAAGGGAAAACTGTGTAGCAGGTTTCACGTGCCACCAGACCTGCATAGTAGTATATATTGCTCCATAAAATGCTCAGAAATAAGAGAACGACAGAGAGAGCACACATGCAAAAAAAAAAAAAAAAAAAGAGAGACGAGAGAGATTTTTAAAAGACAGATAGTCTATGAAGACTGAGAATTATTACCACATTATTACATTATTTAACAAAAAGAATAGCTGGACAGATCATAATGACCATATGTTTCATTTGGACAAAAAATAGTAGCACGGTCTAGAGAATCTTTGTACTGGAATGGATCTGTGAGAAATACTAATTTTATAAATGCTGAACTCAGATATAAAACACAGAATCTTTCTGATTTCCAAGAAGATATTCTCAAAGTTTCTTCAAAGAAAGCAGAAAAAAGTGCCCAACAGATCCCTGTAAGCCTTCCTACTTCTGCTTCAGAGAAAAAGCTGCTCAAGTATCCTTTATCATGGGAAGGAAGTGTACTGAATATCATTAATCTGTTAGAAAAGATACTTTAAAGAATTCCAGAGGCAGTCTTTGAGATTTTGAGGCAATTAAGATATTTTATTAGCCATTAATAAAAGTGTGATGCTGCCATACCAAAGTTGTTCAGTGGGGTTACAGCAAACCCATAGCTGAATTAATGCTCTTCTCTGTACTTATGGGCACTGATCAATCCAGGGAAATCATTTGAAAGAGAAAGGGAAGAGGGTACATGAGGAATTTCAGTAGCAAAGTAAATAATTCAAATTGCAGTAAAAAAATCAAATCATCTCACTTGCACACTTCTCATTAGTTCCCTTTTCATCTGAAGGAATGCACTAGTTATCTGCTTTAAAGAAGGCTTGATAATTCACAGCAGACGCTACACTGCAACATACGTTTTCTTAGCTCGTACAGAGCATCCAATTAGTCTAGGTATGCTTTTATCTCCTCGTTTCTCTGTTGTAAGATCAGCTATAAATCTCATTTGAACTCCAGGCTCATTAGTCCTCCTTTCATCCCCGTTCTTGCACTGGATAAGCCAAGCAACATACATGCAAAATCCAAAAGTTCATCTGGATTCAGCCTGTTAAGCTTCTTTCTACTCCATCACTTCCCAGACATTTTTACAAGAAGTTATTTGGAATTTAAAGAAAGGCCTACTGTTGACAACACTTACTGTCATACAGAAATTTACTGAACATTGGAAATATAGAGGTATATACTGCAAGGCATTTGAAAATGCTGGTATATATATTATACATATATGTATATATATATCTGCGTGTGGTTTATATATAAATAAAAGTGGGGAAAGCCTTTTTGCAGTGGAAAGATAAACACCAGAGCGCAGAATACTCTGGTGGAAGAAGTGGAGTTAATCTTTGGAGAGAAGAATAAAAGCTAAGTGCCCACAGTCAATGAAAATTTTCAATGAAATTATGCTGCACATTCTTGTGGAGAGGACATGTAACACAACCGACAGTCCCTGAGGTTCAAGAGACTATCTTTCTTGGTCATGGTCTCTTCCTCTCTATCTTCCTGCATAGGTAAACATTGTGACAGACACCCAAGGAGACCTCATAAGACCTTCTGAATCTCAGTGTAACAACCCTGTGATGTGTGGAGATGCTGCTGTCTGCACCACAAACATATCCTGCCCTAGTTACTCTGTATGAGAGCACCAGATTTGTCAGTGTTTCTGTTTGCCAGGATGACCATTTTCCTCAAAGTAAGCACACAACAGATATTGTCTCTGAATTGATGCTCCCTGTCCTTATAAGTGTAAACTTGATTTCCAGGAACACTTTCTCTTCTGATCTCAACAGCTCTTTGCACTGAAAACAAAGCACTGGAAAGGGAAAATTCCCTTGAAGTTTTGATTTTTCCACTCAGATCAGTCTTCAAAATGAGAGATGGCATGGTACCATATGAAGCTGTTGGCTGGCATGCAAAAAGACAAGGTCTGTTTTATAGTAGATATTTTAAAATAGTTCAAGAGCGATATTTACAGTTTCATTTTCATTACAAACAAAAATGAACACTACATTCTCCTCATGTCTTTATATCACTTCAGCCTCTGGGAACCCCTGGACATCTTCCCTTGGGAGTTCTGCAACCATTGCTCAACAAAGAAATGCCTCTATGCTGTTTTCCTGTCTTTCTTATTCAAGTAAAACTGGTGACAAAAGCTATTCCACTGAAGCAAGAGTGCTCTGTCTGCTTTCCAAAGAGTAGAGAACAAGACATTATTTCCCCTGGACATCCCTCACTTCCTACTGTCTCAGCAGGAAGCCTCAAGGGAGGTTAGCTCTTGATAGTCAACTACCTTCATTTTTGGATCCACAGCGAAAGGTAGCAAGATGACCAACTCATATTGGAATTGATATCAATTAAAGAGACTTGAGGTTCTTATTCCATAGCTATTATAGCAACTTCAAGTCTTTCTAAGACAGACTGACTCTTAATTGAGCCATTTCACAGCAAAGGTGAGACATCCACAGTATCACTTGTAGGACATACTTCGTGCTTAAAATCCTTCAATGCCCTAATAATCAGAGGTGTTTAAATGCATATTAGATTAACACTTTCAGAATTAAGCAGACATTTTATAAAGATAATATAGGTGGAGGATTAAAAAGCTGTGTGCTTTTTGCATTTAGCAGGACAGCATAAAAATACCTTTGTATAAACAGAAGGATGAGAAGGAGAAAGCCACATGTATATAGAATAATGAAATCAGTGGTTCATGTTTGGTACACCTCCAGCCTGATACTCAGCTGGATTTACACACACCAAATGGAACTGTGGATCACTGAAGTTAAAGGAAACTTTTTCCTTTACTTCAATTAAGCATGGAATTTTGCCAAAGAAAATTATTATTGTAGAGAATCAGAATGTATGACATAGTTATTCTCACACATACAACTGCACCATTTCATTTTACTTACCCAAATCCTGAGAATCAGTTCTTGCACCTGGCTGTTTAAAAGGATGTACTATTTTTATCTCCACCGGTGGAAAAAATGATGGCTTCAGGCTAATTGTGACTACAATTTTTCCAGTATATTTGTTGGCTCTCCATATCATGCCAGATTTCAACTCTGAGTAGTACAGGTGCTCAGCGAAGAGAGACATACCAAGTAATTGATGTCTATAACAAGAGAAGATAACATAAAGTGGTACATTACTATATATTTACTCACTCAAACATTTTCTGAGCATCTAGTTCAGTCAAATTCACTGTAAATAACCTTTCTTTGCATTCTTATATATATATGTAGTATTATCTTCTATATACGAGAATCAGATGAGGTGCAGAGGCATTCTCAAAATAATGCAGCACTCATAACCCTGCAAATTTGCAAAAAATAAACACAAAATGGATAACCTGCATTTCTCACAGGTTTTATGAGCTATTGTTCAGGACTGACTCAATTGGAAGAGAAAGTTCAGGTATAACCCCACTTCTGGTGAACCCAGTAACTAAAACAGACGCTTTGTTGAAGGATGTAGGTCAGATAAGTTCCACCTCTTCCCAATACGCAGTGCCTGCTCTGACAATTCTGACTGTCCAAGGAAATCAAGGTGGAATGGAGAAGTAAGAGCAGGGTGTTCTGAAATCCATCTTCTGCTGCTTCTCCTATTGCAGGAATGTAATTTCCATTCACTGGTCAGTTATAGCAGCTAGCAGAAACCACAAAAAGGCCCAGTTTTAAATAAGAGAGAGAGTAGAAAAGATACTGAAAGAAGTGATTCTGTCTTCCACTTTCCAGCACATAATCCAGGTGGAAAACTGAGAATCTAGTTTTCCCAGGCTAAAGGGAAAGTGTTGATGCCCTAGTGAACAACAACCCACTTAAGGGAGAAAGGGGAAGAGGATAAGGAAAAATCCAATGTGATTGCTGTCAATGTAGGGAGAAACCAGCTTTGTGTTCATCATATGCAAATGGAGTGCTGCATGTTTATATCAGCAGGCCAGCGAAACCACATATTTTTCTCATTCTGCTGTTGGCAATCCCTACTACACATGTGCCAATCCAGCCCTACCAACAGACACCACAGTGACACAAGGTAACCTTTCCCGAGCACCTCACTGAACACATGACCAGCACAGAGCACCTGCAGCCCTGCACAGCATGGAAGTCAAAAGCACACGGTCTAACAGCCCCCTCAGCTGGTGCTTAGCCCCAGCATTGGGGATCAGAGGGAGACAATTCTCTTATACAGGACAGTTTCCAACACATCTGCTGATGCTTGCTGGAGAGGCTGAGCACAGAGCTGAGCCTCCCCACCCAGCAGCTAAGGATGACAACAGACTCAGAGGAGGAAGAGAAAGACCTGATCTAGTTCAGTCTCTTCAGCACAGCTCAGACACCTGAGCTCACCCACTGTGACCTTGGATAAATCATTTAATCTCTCCTTTTGGCTCTTCTATCTGCAGAAAAAGGCCACTAATAAACACTCAGAGAGGATTTCTAAGGATTAAGTTGTTATCATTTGCTAAAAGCTTGGAAGATGGAGAGTATTGAGAGGCAGTGTTATCCTTACAACTGTGACTTTTTTCATTTTCCTATGATTAATTTTAGATTTACAGTTACATGCCATTTGCACTACACTTCATACTCCTCATGTTATGAACTGACACAATAAAAGGAAGAATGAGGAAGAGAACTTAATAGCACCCCTGAAATGAGTGTTTTATTTCTGACAAGCTGAGGAAAACTCACCGAACAGAACTTTTGAGCAAACGAACATCTCTGCCATCATAGTCACATGATCCAATATGGGAAATCTCTTTCCGGTGATCGTGTTGGATCCAGTAGAGCCTTGTGTCAACCAAATCTAGTGAGATGGCCTTTATTTTTTCTGTGGTTCTTAAAACATTTATCATATCACTTCCACTGAGGGACACCCGGTGTATGCTGGAAACTGTACCATCTGAAGACCAAAATAACAGCCTGCAGGTAAGAGAGGCATGTTAAGAAAACAAAACACAAAACCACAAAACTTACATTTGCACAACCACATCACTTCTATGCACTCCTTGTGTAGTTGCTCCTGTGTACAAAATTTCTCAGTGTGGTACTAGAACTACTAGTACTACTAGAGATACTAGAATTCTCTCATGTAGGTCAAGCAGGAATCAGCCCAGCTTAACCACTACTGTCTGTATCTCTGCTTTGTTCAGCCATGCACTCAGACAGGAAAACTGGAATAACCTCTCAAGTCTATGGGGAACACCTGCAAACTTGAGAAGAGGGAGGTCTTTGAGGCAGATCCGCATTGCCCTCTGCCCCAGGGGAGGAATCTACCTCTGGAATTTCTAGTTGAACACACCACTTAAGTACTTAACTTAAAAACAATTTCTATTGTTCTCATTTCTATCTTTCTGCTGCTAATAGCAGCCAGACTATGCTGTTATTAAATTATAACACAGTCAAAATACAGCTCCAATACTCAAACCAGTTATGCACTGAAGCTAATTGTATGTCAAGATATTCGTAGATCAGAACTCAGATTTACTGATGTGATTAGGGTAACAGCAGTTCTTCCAAAATATCAACTTATCCCTAATTCATGTGTATTTTATTTTTTAATGTTTGGGTTTAGATTCTTTCTAGGGTTTCTTGTGGACAAAAATTCTGAGAAACATCATTGTTTTGACCTATCATCATAAAATTGCAGGATTTATATGCACAAAACAATGTAGCATAAAACCACCTTTACTGTGTTTATGTTTATAATTTTTTTAAGGGCCCCAAATATATTAGATCTGGCAAAGGACTATATTAAACCAGTAGAAAGAATCAGCCTCTGCCTCACAGCTTTTCCTCACTGTTACATAGTCTATAGTAGTGACAGGTATTAATGTATAAGTGAAAACACATTTCCAGAAGGTCAGCCCAATTTTATTCTGCCATATTTAAACAGTTTATTAATATTTACTTGCATTTCCCTAGCACCTGTTATTTAAGAAATGTCACTACTCTGAAAGTTTGGACAAATGTAAGGATTCACTTTTTACAGATAGGAAAACTAAGAAACAAAGGAAGCTACAGTCTCTGTGCACAGTTTTTGCAAATCAGTGTAGGAATAGGATATGTTAAGAATAAGTAGAAAGACAGAAGAAAAATTAAGATTAGAAAACAGCTTGAGTAATTCCCAGCCTTTATTGTATTTGCCATCTTTAATCTTAATCCTTAATTTTTGGCATTTCTAAACACCATTAAAAATGTAAAACAATCTATAGCAATAATTATATTATTGCTCCTAAAATAAAAATCCTATCACTGGTAATAGCCAGACACATATTCTAAGAAAAACTCTGTTATTAGTGTATCACATTGACCTTCATTACTTGAGAGTTGCACATGTTTGGAGAAAGACATTGCTAATGTCAGATTTAGTCCTCGTTTAGGCCTGTGCATGTAAACATACTGGGGATTTTCTTTCACTTCACAATAAAAATAGAGCCCTCAATAGTTTTCATACAAGCAAGTTGCCATAGGCCATAAAAATGATGTTAGATTTCTTGGACTCTACTTTCTTTACAGTTTATTAATGTCTTAGTGGTCTCCCTGTTAGCACATGAGTACAACTTTTATGCACAGTGAATCACACCTAGGTAAATATCCACACTTGAGTCTCCCCAAACTTTTACATACATTCAGCAAATACATCCCTATAATGCCATTTGTAACATGTGTTTCAATGGCGTTTGAGAGTGGGTGTGAGGACTGTGAATATTTCCAAGATAGATAAATGCTACATTGAAAAGTAAATCAGGAAAAAAAAATACACAGGCTGATATCCAGGCCATAAATCCCACTCAAATGGCAAGAGTCTGAAGAATATTAGCAATGCTATCACCATGGGCGCATACCTGAAGGGCTGTGATATTGGCATCATGGAGATATGGTAGGATGGCTCCTACGACTGGAGTGTTGGAATGTAAGGATACAGGATCTTTAGGAAGGACAGACAGGGGAGACTGACTCTGTGTCAGTGACCAGCTGGAGTGCATGGAGCTCAAACTGGGGATGGATGAGGAGCCAATGCAGAGTTTATGGGTCAGGATTAAAAGGCGTAGAGGGTCAGGTTACATTATAGCTACAAGCTACCTGACTGGGAAGACTGAGTGGATGTGGTCCTCTATAGGCAAATAGGAGAAGCCTCACATCCACAAGCCCCAGTCCTCATGGGGGACTTCAGGAACCCTGATATCTGTTGGAGGGACAACACAGCAGGGCATAAGCAATCAAGGAGGTTCCTGGAATATATTGATGATAACTTCCTACTCCAAGGGACAGAGGAGGAGGAAGAGTGTTCTATGTCATCTACCTGGATTTGTGTAAAGCATTTGACACTATCCAGCATGACATACTTCTCTCTAAACTGGAGAGACATGGATTTAACAGATGGAACACTCAGTTGATAAGGAATTAGCTGAATGGTTGCACTCAGAGAGCTGTAGTCAATAGCTCAATGTCCAAGTGGAGACCAGTGGCAAGTGGCGTTTCTCAGGGATTGGTATTGGGACCCTCTTCATCAGCATAATGGACAGTGGGATTGAGTGCACCCTCAGATAACTTGCTGACAACAAACACCAAGCTGTGTGGTGCAGTCAACACGCTGTAGGGAAGGGATACCATCCAGAGGGACCTTGATAGTCTTGAGAGGTGAGCTTGTGTGAACCTGATGAAGTTCAACAAGGCCAAGTGCAAGGTCTTACACCTGGGTCAGGACAATCCCAAGCACAAATACAGTCTGGGCAGAGAGTGGGTAGAGAGCAGCCCTGAGGAGAAGGACTTGGGATGCTGGTGAATAAGAAGCTCGACGAGACTCAGCAATGTACACTTACAGCCCTGAAAGCCAGCCATGTCCTCGGTTGCATGAAAAGAAGTGTGACCAGGAGGTCAAGGGACATGATTCTCCCCCTCTGCTCTTTTGAGACTCCACCTAAGAAGAACATAGACTTATTGGACTGATCCCAGAGGAGGGCCACAGAGATGATCAGAGGTCTCTTATGAAGAAAGGCTAAGAGATTTCGGGTTGTTCAGCCTGGAAAAGAGAAGGCTCAAGGGAAACCTTATAGCATCCTTCCAGTAGCTAAAGGGAGCTTACAGGAAGGGCGGAGAGGGACTTTTTGCAAGGACATGTTGTGACAGGACAAGGAAGAATGGTTTTAAACTGAAAGAGGGTGGCTTTAGATTGAATGTTAGGAAGAAATTCTTTATTGAGAGGGTGGTGAGACACTGGAACACATTGTCCAGAGAAGCTGTGGATGCTCATCCCTGGAAGTGTTCCAAAACCAGATTGTACGGGACTTTGAGTGACCTGGTCTAGTGAAGGGTTTCCCTGCCCATGGCAGAGGGGTTGACTAGGTGATCTTTTTGTCCCCTTACAATCCATTTCTGTGATTCCATGAAACTGCAATCATAGTACCTTGCATATTTGGAGTCCATTTCAATGAAATTACTAATCCATTTAAAATTACCTTTGTTCAGCATCAGTGATAATCCTTGTGGGATGACCAACATCTCTTAGAAGAACTCGGCGTTTCTTCCCATTCATGTCTGTCACTTCTATGGTTCCTTTCTGTCTATTGGCCCAGAGAATGTCTTGATTTATCCAGTCAATAGCAAACCCTGAAATGCCTTTGTCTATGTAGCATAGTCTCTGTAAACAACAACAAAAAAAAAGAGTTGACAAGAGGTATCCTGATGACTACTCCAAACTTGGCTTTCATTATAGGGAATAAAATGCCAGAGTGAAACTTGCTATTTCATTCCTTTGCTTGCTTCATTTTCTTTCGGACCTGTAGCTATTTCTTATTCTTTCATCACTTTCATTTGGTCTTTGTACTTACACATACTCCCTCTGAACAGAGAGACACCCTGCAAAAGGAGAAACTATTTTGTTCAAGAAATACACTGGAGTAATCTTTTCACTACAACTTTTTGCATTTCACACACTATGAAGCGCCCAGACCTGTACTGTTACATGTGGAAGACTTCCTAACACACTGTTGCTGGTCTCTGCTCCTTAAAAGTCAGTGAAAATACATCAATGAAGACTCCGCATGAGTAGACGAACACAGGCAATCTCTCTCAAACAAAAGAAGGCCCTTACACCATTAAAGTTCAGCCACAACAGCCTGTCTGCCCTTCTTAATCAGATGCAATGAACTGTATAGTTTTTTCTGAACAAAGGATGAAGTGCCAAAAGAAGCATTTATGCAACCATAGAAACCAATGAAAGGTTTGAGAAAAAAATGAGTAGGAATTGAAGCACATTCTTCTCATAGCATTTGTGTCAGCTTTTGTTACAATAACCTTGAGGACAAAGTTCCATAATGCCAGAGATTAATTTAAAACTGATAGAAGCATTAATGTCTACAAAGCCTTAGTTTGTCTGAATTGTCTTTCCTTCATTTTTGACTCTCGTCACTTGATCCACAGAAAATACTGAATGTACTAAATGTGAATGCCAGTAAAACAGCCTAGATTCAAGATCAGAACTATTACAACAGCAAAAATAAAGTCCTAATCATTTAACAGTAAAGGCAGAATTGTACCTAAAGAGCAGGTGGTTTCCACAGAGGGTTTTAAGCCCATTAACTTGAAGAATTCCAGAGAACTGAGTACTCTACCTCTTGTTTTGTGCCATTCAGGTGAATTCTTTGAAGTAGTCTCCTTTCAGAGTCCACCCAATACACTTTCTCTTCTACATAATGAAAATCCATAAGTGTTGATGGACCAGTATCAGCAACCAATCTTTCATGATTGGTCCCTTCGGTGTCAATTCTAAAGATGGCATTTCCATGGCTAAAAAGCAGGAATGGTGCAGGGTCTGGTGTGGAGAAAACAAAAAGAGACCAATTAATTGATAAGAATTGCATTTTTGCTGCATTAAGTTCTCATCAGTAATATACTAGTCAAAGAGAAACTTCAGGATCTACCTACCTCATATTTTAACAATAGCTTTCTATTACAGAGATAGGTGTATCACAGAGAACCAATAAGATATAAATGTAATGATCCTTTCATATGTAATATTGAAAATTAGGTCAAAAATCTGAGTTAGGAAAGTGAGACTGCAATGGTTGTTACCACTAATCCCAAATCCTACAGCCTAGTCAGAGGTCAGAACAATCACTGCATGCTTTCCAGTTGAGGTTGGAAGAGTTTTGTCATGGATGTGTCTCCAGGTGGAAGACCACTTCAAATTATTGTGCTATAGCAAGAATTTATCACATAGAGATGGCCTGGAGTCTCACTTTAACTATTTACTTTATTTACTTTAACTATTTAACTATTAACTTTAACAAAAAGGAAAATTAAAGATTCCAATACAGGGCAAAGGAAGAAGCTAAACATTGTAGATGTTTCTTATGCTGCAGAGGGCTGAAGGAAAACAAAAGACTTGTACTTAAAACTCAGCAGCATCAACTCCTTCCAGACAAAAACTGTATTCATACTGAGAGAAGGGTAACTTAAAATATATTAAAATAAAACGTGCTCCAATTATGCCCCAAATTCTAGAAAACCAATTAAGGTTGAAAGTGATGAGCAACTAGGATGGTCCCAATACCCTTGACGCATCCTTAAACCAGGAGATATGCATAGAAATACAATTAGTGTGGCATAATGATTGGGGCTGCTGATTACACCACTCCAAGTTTTATCAAATCCTTTTTTATTTTTAGGGTATCACCATAGAGCACCATATCACCAAGTCTGCCCTATCACCAGTTTTCTTGCACATAAATTTTTGAAAATTAAATTGGTTTTATTGACCAGGTTCATATCTTTTTTAACTAAATATCTTTACTGTTAGCATGAAACCCGATGCTTTAAACTCAACAAGTAGCACTTTACAAATATTAGACAGATGCTCTGCCTTCATCATAGTTGCAAAGTTGTTTGACAACTCCTTTCAAAGCAGAGGATTGAGACCAATTTTGATTTCTTCAAGTGAACAAAGTTCTGACAAGCACCCGAGATGTAATTTTCTTTTGTTCCCAGAGGGGAACCCAATGAAGATGGTCAACACATTGTTTCTATACTAACAGAGTGGTTTGTATCTCAAGTTTAAAGCTATCACCCAATTATAGCAGTTGCTTCTAGGATTTTAATGACTCCCTTTTTTCTGCTGTTATTTGCTGTTATATGCAACCCCATGTGACCATATTTGAATTATGAAGATTTGCTTCACATAAATGGTAAATGAACAGTAAAGTGTAGTGAGGTTGATTTATCTAGGGAATTTGGCAGCTGCAGTGCCTGCATTTTTGCCAATTAGTTGATCAAGAGCATTTATGCACTTTGGTTTTGTCCTTTACATTCTCTGAATTTCCTATCAGGTGACTATGAATGAGGGCTGTCAGTGGAACAGGAACTGAAATAAATTTTTTTTATTGCAGATTTGCGGTTTAATGATCAGGTAAACAATATCTGCACCAAAGAGCTTCCTATCTTTAAAACACAACGGTATTTCACTTGGTGCATCCCCCAGAAGGGTTTATACCTAGCATAAAAGCTCCTTATCCATCACCGTATTTCCATCAGTCACTTTCTACTGTTGCTATAAATATTAGTAATAACGTGTTAAAAAGTTGAAGTCCTCCAATATGAAGGTAGGATTGTTTTTTGAAAGATACCTGTGCATAAATGGTGCAGTTAAGTAACATGTTTGTTTTCACCTCTCTTCAGCTCAGAAGTGAAGAGTTCACAAAAGATCTGATTTTTAAAAATAGGAACATTCTATTTAAGGGACCAGAGATGTTTAGGCAGGACTATAAAAAATCCAGTTTGGGTTTTGTGAGTCACATGTAGCTGATAATTATGAAGATTCTAGGGGTAACTGAAGTAATTGTGTTGGTGGCAGTTTGGGAGATATACAGAATATTTTTGGTTATGTTCATGGTCCCAAAGGCTACCTGCATAGGGACTCAAGTCTATCTCCTACTTCTTGGGTCAGAAAAATGCCTTATCACATCCATCTCTGCATTAGCAAGAGTCCCAGGTAAATATTAGTCAAAAAAAAAGAAAACCTGAGATTCTGGATCAGGAGGGAGTTGTGGCATATCCCAGACATGAGTCAAAGCCAGGTGTTTGGGAAACCAAAGTGGAGAGGTGGGAGGTGTACTCCAGACCACTCCCACCTCATACTCTAGATGCAAATATAGAGTTAAACCAATCAGTAAAATCCAGCTTGATTTTTTTCCTAGGGTAGCATTAGTTGAGGGCAAAATGAAAGTTATTCAAAAGCCACAACTGTGAATATTTTTCTCTTAGAAGAGCTAAAACCTGTTAAATTTAAATGCATCTTGCACATTTAAAAATCAATTTATTTTTAAATAGCTAAGGACAGAGCAAGGGAGAGAAATAACATATAGTAGCACTCATGTTTTTTAAGACACTGCTGATGGATGAAACCAAAAATAAGGGCTTCCTGCTTACAGTTTCACAGCACTGTCCCTAAAACCTAGACACACTGGAAAGACATCAACACCACTAGACTGAAAGAGGCTAAGGTAGTAAAATCTTTTGTACTGCCACGTCTTCCTGGAAGTAGTTAGAATGGGATAAGGGAGTTTACAGTTCTGAGCACACAGAGAAGGCTAAACAGGAGTTAATTGTTTAGTTTTATTTGTTTCCATATTTTCATTCATCTTTTCACCACCATACTTTTCATTCTTCACCATCACTCTTCTGTGGCACCCACTTTTGGCCTTGCCACTTATCCACACAGAGTAGAAGAGACAGGGTTTTTTATCAGTGAACCAGAGCACCCCAGTCGCTGTCCAGCAGGGACCAGCAGGCATGGTTCACTTTGAAAAATAAAGCTAACTAAATCTCTAAAGCTCTTTTTCAGTCATCAAAAAAGAAAGTGACCTTACCATTCACATAGCAAGACCGTTTGTCAATATCCAAAGAGTAGCCAGGCAAACAAGAGCAGACGTAGGATCCTGGAATATTGATACAGGTTTGGCCGCAGGTTCCCAAACCACCTTCAAGGCACTCATCAATATCTGAAACAGGCATTTGAAAAAGATCAGGAAAATTCAGCTTGGAAGAGCAGCATGAGCAAGGAGAAAGAGTACCTTTGACATAGTTATCTAATAATAAATTGGTCACAAAATTTAATATCCCATCATTTAAAAAGCAAGATGAGGATGGTTGTATTCCTTCATGCATTGGTTTCTGAATTATTGTTTTGTCCATTGTCATGCTCGCACTGACTCTGGAGAGCGTTGGGGTTTTTTTGAGTTTTCTTTGACATCTAGGGAAATTACCCTTCTCCCTTGTGTTTGGGCACTCTGGTCTCTAATTGCCCAAACACAGGGAACAGACTTGTCTTGATTTGTGTTAGTATTTGCTATGCAAATGCTGCTTGCAGCTGCTTCCGTCAATCTTTATCCCTTTATCAACAATAATAATTTTGCCAACAAATTAACAGACTTTGCAAAACAGCAAAGCGGCAGACTGCCACAGCACTGAGTTCAATGTTGAGCTCATTTTGGTTTGAGTCAAATCTCAAACACAGATACAAAACACTAAAACTCCCACTGTATTCTGACAGCAACAAGCCCAAACAAGGCAACAAGCAAACTAATTAGAAACTGGACTTTTAACTGGCAGATTAAGCTAGAGCCTTCAGAAATTAAAAGATATTTGATGTATTTATGGTGTTTTATCAGGGTTGAGGCACTAACTGTTAATTAAGTCCTAAATTAAGGAACTTATTTTTTTAAAAAAAATATTACTACTGAGGAGCATTGTTTACAGTAAGGGGAAAAGAAATTAATCCCTTTGGCAGTACCACGGATAATTGTCCCACAAAATTGAGATAAATTTTAGTGCCTACTGAAAACAGATGCAGCTTTCCAAGGTACTTGACATCTGGCAGTACCATATGCTGGTATATTTCTTGTATACTTTCTTCAACTGTTGTGAGGGCTGCTATAAGGAGCAGCTGCTTCCTTGCCCAAGTACTATTAGATGTCAGTGGCTTTTGTTCTGGGTTTTATCAGCTGACTTTGCATATGCAGGAATAAAAGAATCAACAAATTTTGTTTTAACGAGACACATTTGATTAAGTCACTAAAGGACATTGATTCATAACCAAAACTAGGACTGTGAGTGTCATGTGAGAATTCTCTTATAAAGAAGGGCAGAAATGGCACCTTAACTACAAGGAAGAGCAATTTAATCAACTCACCAAACTTTAAAAGAAACTTTCTCAGTAACTTAGGGAGAGCTAACCAGCTAGATCTCTGATATGCCATGGTTCTGAGTCCTGTACCATTTAACTGCTTTAAGAAACTATATGTAGCTGAAGTGTTTAGGGGTTTCTTCTCTGTCAAGTATCAAAGTTGTTAAAAAATAATGTAAATGCTTTACAGTCACCTAATGTGTCTGTACAGACTAGGGAAAGTTTCATATTTTTTTAGAGTTTTCCCACAACCTTATGTTCCAAATAGCAGATGAACTAATTTGGCAATGCAAGAAATGTAGTCAGAGCACATGCAACCGATTTCTGTTTAATGGATTACGAAGGTAAAGCAGAAATATTTTCAGCAATGTAATTCCACAAAGTACTCTAATTCTAAGCCACAATTTTCTTCAAACAGTCATTTTTCAGGAGAATATTTTCCCTCATGTACTAGGATTGTACATTCCATTCTCCACAGCATTAAAGGAGTAACTCCTCCAAATCCTCTCTAAAAAGGTTTGACTGGCTTAGAAGCGTTAATGGGCTACAGAAACCACAAGCTCCAGGTCACCATTTTAAAACTAGATATTCCTAGCAAACATTGTCTGGATGGCATTAAAACTAAAGGCCTCTCTGATAGCCCATATGGGGGGGCTTTGGTGACCTCAGATCATTGTCCAGCTGCTGTCAGTGCTAGACACAAAGACTGGTTGTCTCTCTCTTGCTGAGCACTGGTTTTCAACTCACGTACCTGACTGATTAAGCCAGAGAGTTAACCTGATCTAGTCACCAGTGCCACAGCAGGTGCAAGACTGTGTTGATAAAGGCTATAATGTAGTTTATGTTAGTCAAAATACTTTTATGACAGTAGTAGCTTTTAAATGAACTTGATGTTATTCCTCTGTGGAAATCACGAGTTCGGGTGACAAAGGCAACTGTGTAGATGTAAGATTGCTAAAGAGAGAAGTTGTTTGATTAAGCTGCGTGAAACACTGCTGAGCTATTATTCAAATACAATAAAGAGCACATTAAATAAGAATAAAAAAAGATAGGCCTGACTTACAGATTGTATATGGAACTGCTTTCCCTGAGAAGGATTTGTGTTCATACTGCATAGAAAGCTGACCTCTTACCATGTTAGGGCATGAAAATTCAAATCAAAACACCTATAAACACAGGAAAAAATACTGACGTGGGGGAAAAAAATTACTTCTGTAAATGCCAGTGGTCAGTTTATATTGGCATGCTGTTTGTATTTCTCAGATATAGGTCGTTAAAGGAACTCAAAAAATTAGAAGGTGTATACAACAAGGATAAAAAGCCTGATTTGAATGTATGGAAAAGTGCTTTTCTGTGAGACACTTAAAGAGCTCAGAATGCTTAGAATATCAGAAAGAAATTTGGAAGAAGATTGATCACCATAAATAAATACCTTTACAAAGAAAAAGTAGCATATTTTCTAAAAGATACTCTAATCAGGAACCATTAAACAATGACTGATGGCTCAGAACTGAAGCCAGGAAATTCAAATTCAGACATTAAATTCAAATTTTAACAGGAAGGGAATTCGCTAAGGGAACTAGCTATCCAGAAAAACCCTGAAGGCATGAAAAACATCACAGAATACTCTAAAGTCAGGATCAGACAGGGAAGACATGCTTTAACCAAGCACAGGTTACTGAGCTACATACTAAGGTAAGAGGACAATGACCTTTTATTTACAGGATGGATTTTCCAGCTTTATATGAGTGTACAAAACAGGAAAGAGCATACTCATTGATGAGGCTACAAGAATTTACACTATCTCCCCAGTAACTGTACTTGAAGAGAAGATTTCAGGGTTATTGACCTGTCCATTTTCATCACCAAAACTCACATAATCAAGCAAATCCCACACATACTGAAAAGCAAGCCATCCCTCTAGCTGAAGAACAGCAATCATGGAGGAATAATAACTGCCCAATGAAAGGCCAGGGACACAGTGGCAGGTCGGCCACAGGAGAATGCCGCTTCCAGTGGTAAACAGGAGGAACCAAGAGACACAGTGCTGTTGTGAAACACACAGCAGCACTGTGAATGTTTGGCTTTTATGGAATCTACAACAGAAGGGGATCCTATGCTTAACACACTCTCTTCTTTGCTTAAAGTACAAACAAACAAACAAACCCCAACCCAATCAACCAAAAACACCAACCCCAAAACAAACGAAGAAAAGAAACAGAACAAAGCTCTTTCTTAAGATTTAAGAGAACTTGATCACAAAACCATCCATCAGGTGTAACTAGCAGTACTTTCATCTGCACTTTTAGTGCCAAAGGAAAGCATGGAGTTGCATCCTGCTGTAGCTGTTTTACGTGTCCTAGCAACCACATCCCCCAGTGGGAACTTTACCCTGTGAAAGAAATCGGCTTAGTGAACACAAAAGCTGTCTGCAGTGCCCTGACAGTCAGCCCTGAAAGAAAGAATGAGGTTCTGCTTAGTTCTCAAAGGCTTCTTTATGCAAAAAATGCCTTGAGAATCAGCAAAAACGATGAATCATGTCATCACAATGTTGGCAGCTCTCAATGACTTTGCATACAAATGTACTACTTTATTGAGAGTCCTGAGAAAGGCTCTGGTTGCAGAAGGTTGAACCATTAGTATGCCTGTCAGGGATACAGAGAAACCACAGTGAGCTAGAACTTGCATTTCATTATGACCCCAAATACTTACATTATATACATATATATGTGCAGATACATCCACTCAAATAACCTCACACAAATTTAGTTCCCGTCAAGTTGTACTGGAGATTAATTCAATCCACTATATCTAGCACCACCATAATCTTTTCAACAAAGTTGAAAGTGAAATTTTATCTGGGTGACGAAAAAAGTAGCCCATCCCTTTTATCTATTTTGTTTAAAGCACACAGCTCAAAGAACAGAAAATAGCTAGAAATGGAAAAAGATACTCCAGCTATCAGCAGACCACAATAAAACAGATGATGCATAGTTCAGTATCTTTTCTCTCCACTTTTAAATGAGGCTTAAAATACAACCTTATCACTCACAATTTTTGAGAGGAGAGAGGTGGTGAAGTGCTCCCATACTATGGTAAGAAATACAATATGAATACAATAAGGTGGTTATCAACTCCTGGACTCTTTCAGCCCAGAGCCACAGAGATGATCATATCACAGATATGACAGCAAGAGTAAGCTCATTATTTATCAAGTATAAAATAGAATCAAATTTAGAATTTAAACAGAATTTAGAAACCACTCGTAGATATCTCAAAGAGAAAGGGCAAAAAAGATCTCCAGGAACTACAATATCTTTTTTTTTTACTTCTGGACTCCAATCTCAAGTGTTTGCTCACTAGAATGAAAAAAAAAAAAGGTTTTATCTTCAAAATAAATTCCATGAGTAAATTAGTAACTACAGTATGGACCTCTACTTCTCGGATCATGCAAATTTCAACAGACTATTATTGGCTTGCCTTTCAAAGACCAAGTTCATGAGGCATCCATCAAATGCTGTCATCCAGCTCCCTTTAAAATCAGATTTCAAATTAGATACTAGAAAGTAATCAGTTTGTTTTTAAAGAGAATAACTGCTATTTTCCACTGAAGAAAACAATGAGTCTTGTAGTATTAGTTATTGGTCCTGGAGTCTGCCCCTTAGCCCTTTTCAGTATTAAGCATCATGTGATGTGTGATGCCATTTCTGTCCTTTCTTGTAATATATTTGCCTCTTTCCTATTTTGATCTGAGTTTTCACAGCTGAAGACAGTATTTTTCCACATTCAGCTGGATCCAATTTCCAGATAATTCAATGTGAACCTTCTCATGAATTGGTCTCTGGGTTCAGACCCATGCTCAAGAATTCCTGAATACTATTTGGTAAAAATACCAGCATCTTTCCCCAAGGCAGTATTATGTGACGTGAGCTAGCTGGAAGACAACTACTGAAAACAAGGAAACAAACACGCCTTGACTGCAGCTCTTCTGAGACACAGAGGGAAACAGTGGCAACTTATCAGGTTTATCCCTGCCACAACAAGGGGAGAAAAGGCAGTTCCCCATTTCACTGGCTCTTACTGCTCCTTATGAGATGCTTGCAAAGAAAGGAGAGCTGTGAACTAATAAGGTTTTGGCATTTCATATTTCTCAGAATACAGCCAAGAAGTTTTAACAGCATATCTTCAGAAGGCTGTATGGAGCAAAGTGAAGCCAGAATTTAGCTAATTAGGGTAAATTTAAAGATGTAAAACAAAGAGTAATAACTTAATATTACTCATCTCCAGTGCTCCGTGGCAGGAGAGAGGTGAACAGTAAGAAAGAAAAGAGGAAAACTTGAGACACAGAAAGAAGTATCTGATCAAAAGAGCTGACCTAGATAGCTGCAGTTGTCACCTTCAGTTGCAGGCTCTAGCTCTGTTGGAATGTGCAGCATGTTAGTCCTGATGAAGTGACAAGGACTGAGCAGTTAATGTCAGGATCTGGTAGAGATGTGCAGAGTTTAAGAACCTATGATTAGGCAAAACTTCAGTACTGTGGGTTTTGGTTTGCGTTCTTCCAAGACTTTGTTACAACACTGTTGGTTTTTTTAAAAATAACTATCTTTCTTCACTTTTAAAACTTACGTAGTGAGTATTTAATGTCAGCCCTGAAACCAAAGTACACCTCCAGTGTTGCAGTATCCAGAAGACAATATACTTACCTAGGGTAGCCCAAGACTAACAGGCATTAGTATCTACTCTAAAATTGATAATGCAAGGGGCTGTTCTAGGGTCTTCTTCAGATAAACAGTGCCATGTGGAAAACTTTTTTGGTCTTGAGTAGGGAAAGAGTCTATACAACATGACAGAATAAAAAATACTGTTGTTAAAGTAGTATTTCAGGAGGGCACAGGCAACAGATTCCAACAGGTACAGGCCCATCCCCTGGTGTACCTTGTATGCTTACATTGTCAAATATGTTGGAAATCAAAGCTCTCCTGGGATCAACTATGCATATGTTTTTTCTTTGTAGGCTCCTTTGTAGGTCAGACCATTTTTCTTCAGAGGTAGAAGGATCTGTGTTTTTACTGGGGTCTAACGAGGCAAGTTATTTAAAGGTGACTGAGTCCCCAGTCCTGATATCAGCTTAAAATAAATTATTAATTAAAAATGGCAATGTCAAAAAATGTAGAAATGCTTTCAATTCTACCATAACTTGTCAATAAATTGATGCATTCATTCACCAGACTAGAAACAACAGTGTTGTTCTGACCTTGTGATCTCTTCTCTCATGCTTTCTCTCCTGTAAACCTTGCTGTCGTAGGACACAGCCCCTCTGAAAAGTCTCTCCTCTCTTGACATACAAAGTCAGGATTCAAATAATCTCTCTTAAAATAACTGTATAAAACTGTGTGACATTTAGGGTTAGATTTCATTATACTTCCACAGGATGAGGAGGTCTTTGATCTTTGAATATCCAGAGAAATAAAAGGAACTAATTAAGAAGTGAGCTATTTAGCAATGTAAGAAGAGCACAGCCCAGACCTTTGTCTGTAGTGGTAGTTTGGAAAACAAATCTAGAAAAGCCTACACACTTTCTGGTAAGTCACCGGTAACAGAGAGCAGACACCTCCTCAATTCAGGGTAGTCCTTATGGCTGGCAGGTTGCCACCAGTCACAGATGATTAAGAATATTTTACAATTGGTATATCTATTACAGCTCACCCAGAATGGTGGCCAAGCCACGATCAGCTTGCTGTCATTGTTCAGAAGTCAGTGGTATGAGTCACATCTCCCACTCACCACTTTTATCCCCAGTATTACCTTCAAAGCCTGCGTCCAGCTTCCTCCCACTTGCTTTCACTGCACCCTCTGTCTCACATAGTTATTGAACCAGAATGTCATACGTCCAGTCTTCTGGTCAGAACACCAGTTGTGTATCCAGTACACAGAGGAAAGAGCCAGGGAAACCCCGTACACCAAAGCATCCTTCAGTCTTACAGTTCATGTCAGAATTTCACCTTTGCTTAATCCCCTGTAATGCAGTGGTCTGTAATTGAAAAATTACCCTAAGAAATCTCATTTTTCACTTATTCTATGTCATGGAATTGCTCAGAGTATGTCATAGTAATGTTAGCTTTTATGCAGAAGATTTCTTCTATTACTATTTTTTTGAGAGTTTGCTGAGCTACTGGCCAATCTGTTTTGGTGCTTTACCTAGAGTCCTCCATTCATACAGCAGCTAATTTTCAACAGAAAAGACATGCAGGTCAGGTTATGTCTAGATTAATGAAATAGCAATGTGCATCAATATGCGAAATATGTTCACGAAATAAAAAAATATGTCTTTGCAGCACTTTGCATGTTAATATTTAGAGCCCTTTTTTGGCTCTAAACAATAACCAATCAACACCCTTCATCTCAGCAGGATTCTCCCGTTATACATGAGCTCTTAATTGGGCAATTCCGTAATATAGAAGTCATAACTAATGAACATCCTAATTACCTTGTGGAAGCAAAGTACCTATTAATGAATAGTATCATCTGTAGGAGAGGCTGTGTAAAGTGCAACAGCTGCTAAGGATATGGTATATACACTGCATATATTTCAGACTGAGGTTTCAGACAACCAGGTCTAGTCTGGTCCCACGAACTGAACAGCCATTAACGGCAGAGAGGGTAGATGCTCTTCTACAGGAACACCCCCTGGTTTAAGTTTGCCTAAAGGGAATGCACTTTGTGTATTTTGAGTGCTTTTCAATGTGAAGCAAGCATAGTAAGAGGTGGTAATATGGAGATCGATTTCAGAAGTATGCTTCTTATTTAAATTGAAGCATCAGTGTGGAAGCACCCTAGGTGTGTTTGGCTCTGAGATAAACCTTCAGTCAGGTTTATAATTTGTACACAAAAAATTCCTAGGTCCTCCTCTCTCAATATGACATCATTTAACATGCATACTTCTATTTTCTGCTTACAAGACGGTATTTCTTGGCAGAATGCACAGAGGAGGCACCTGTTATTACATCACTAGAATCACGACAAGAACTGAGTCAGAGCCCAAGAGCCAAGAGAAGCCCAAGGAATCTAAGGCAAAAGCATTAAATCCAAGTATTATGTCTGTTTGCTTGAATCCTTACAGAGCATTTCCTTATCTCCTTACTGCAAAACCCACAACTTCATTGGCTCTGGATTTCTTAAAAAAATTGGACCTCAAGGTAGCAGGGGAGGGAGAAGGGTTCTGTCATTTTTTGTCTTGAACTTTGTAAAGAATAGGAACCTGCATTTTACGTGCTCCAAATCGCTGGATGTGATTATAGTAATATCAGTGTCATACATTTCACCCAGACTTCAGTACTACAATATCAAGTACATCTGCAATTTATGTATTGTATGAGATATACTAATATGAACACATCTACATGCACCAATCAGCATAGGAAGAATAGTTTTTGAAGTTATCTAACTCACATCTAAGTGTGTACTAATGCATAATCAATAAAATACTCTTTCTATATGCATATAGAAATAAAAAACCACACCTGTACACAAATTTTACATATATAGAAGCATGAATACATGCATGCACATGTACTGAAACTACAGAGACACTGAAAGCTACAGCAAGTTTTGTGCACTAGAGAACAGTTCAGATTTCTTAATGATCATATGAAAATGTATCCTGCTTTCTAATACTTAAACTGACAGACAAGTGCTGATTTCTGGGAAAAAAAAATGAGCTCTGTTCATTTTGAGAAGCAACAGATATTGAGAAGCTGATTTATCAGTTCTGCCAGTACAACACACAAGCAACCTGTAAAAAAACTCTTTGAAAATTATAAAGCTAAATTGAGAGAAGACAAATGCAGTTTTCTTTATCTGAGAATGTTCAGCAACTTACCTATACAAACCGAGTTTTCAGGCTTTAATCTGTATCCATTAGGACAGTTCCAGTGCTGCAGAGCTGAGAGGTTGACAAAACCAATTTTAAAAACCACAGGCAAAAAAGCAACAAGGAAGGGAAACATAATCTTGAGGGGTTTTTTGAGCTGTCACTAGAGAAAAACTAGCTTATATTCAGTCATATCCAGGACAAGATGAACATGTGCAATCCCAAAAGGTTTCTGCAATCTCCCACTTTACACTCAGACATCTTATCACAATTCCAAGTTTTATCTTTGCCTTGCTGTTCTTGTCGCTTTAGACCTTACTGCATCTGACTACAACCTTGAATAAATTCCTGGGAGATTTCTTCCCTGCACACATCAGGGCGTTTTTGCTCTCTCTCTTTCGTTTCTTTTTTTTTCTCTTTTGGAAGCCAAGTATGAAATGCCTGACCCTCCTGCCACAAATTTAACACAGCTTAAAAGCAATGCTCGCAAGGATCATTGCAAATTTCCTTGCAACAAGCAAAGCTGCTGTTTAAGTCCTAAAAATTGGAAAACTCTTCACCACATCTCTCAGTGGAGTACAGGCGGCAAGATCTCCAGGTACTGTCCTTCTCGGAAACGCAGTTGCTTTTTACATTCAAACTTGGACGGACTCCTCTTTTCTTTTTAAAGCTCTGCTTGCCCCACCTCTTCTCTTTTTAGTACCACTTGAGTGAACCCTGTGTTTGCAAATAGTAATGTGGTCAGTTCCTTACTACAGGGAACTGAGCCAGCATGCAGATATCCAGCCACCCGTTATAGATACAGTCTCTTTAGAAAAGCAGCCCCTCCTGCTTGAGAAGTACCTGTGGCTTTCAGCTAAGTTTTTTTCCTCAGGGATTTTAAGTAGGTTTATATGATTCCTGTTCAATCATGATTAGTTGCATTCATTTTAATATCATCATGTGTTGTACCACCAGAAACAAATTTTGTCATCAAAATATTTCATGCAAAAAGGAGGAGGTGGGGGGGAAGAACCCCTCTGGTTTCTCTGATATATTTCAACTGGAAACTCAAATCAGCTTAAGGTCAAGTTCAAATCTAGGGTATGTGTTTGTAATTCCAAAGTTGAAAACATCTCTCTCAGGTCTCATTTTGGCCTTTGTGTATTTCCAGGGAAATACCTGCTGTCAGAGACCAGGGCAACATTTTCTGACCCTGCATGTCTCACAGACGTTGCAGTCATTTGTATGTACACTAGTGCTGCACAACTCTACTGTTGAGATGCAATGCTCTTTTGCACCTGTTCCACTGAGGTATAAAAACTAGACAAATTACCAGTGCATTAAGCTCATAATTCTTCAGTATTGAAAAAAATCTCCTTTTTCCCAGTCCATCAACCTAGATCAGCAAAGCTCTAGAGCACAAGCGTAAGTTTGTGCTTATAAGAGTTGCTGTATTTTGAATGTCCTGAGATTTAAGCAGGTGTTTAAATGGTTGACTGAGCCAGCCTTTGTTGAGCTAACTGCTGTAAAGCATTCTAGGTTTGTCACTTTTTTCTTTCCTTTGATTTTTTTAAATTTTATTTCTGCAGCATTGTGCTAGAATAAATACTAACACAACAGTTGGGTACAGCAACAGCATCAGATGGTAACCTACAGCTGTACAAGTTCCATCTGTGGGAATTCTCCTTTCCTCCCTTTCTCTCCCCATACTTATCTGAATCAATAAGAGTCCAGACTTGCACTGTCAGAAAATAGGAAGCATGAAACCTGTTATAAATTGGGCCACTCTCCAATAAAGTAACTGTTTCTTGATGTTTCTGTCTGCATGCAGGCACATCCAGGTCACTCAGTCTTCACTGCTACAGCTAATGCAACTAGTTAAATCCAGACTGACAAATGGCAGTCACATTTCCATACACTCTGTTCAGAACCTAGTCTCTACCCGCATACTATAAAATACAATAACAGTGATGTAAATTATGCAGAGCCAGACTCATGCCAAACACCATTTGCTTCTCCAAATAGTCCCCTGGAATATAAAAGGGCAAACAATGTGAAAGCACAGTATAATGCCATCCCATCTAAGATTACAGGGCCCTGCCCAAGAAATGTGTTATGTTCCACATGAACATCTTTTACTAATTGTGCAGTCATTGGTTCCTCCTCACACAATTTTCATCACTGTTCAAGCTGGGAGCAGGCAACCTAACCAGTTTAAAAGGAATGTGTCACTTCTTTGTGAGCAGCCACCAGCAGAGTGTTTGCCAGACCATAAGAGTGGTCATCCAAGCACATCCCTGACCTATTCTAGGGCAGACTCAGACAAACTCACTGAAGGAGACAAAATGAAAAAGCTCTACCTTTCCTTTTAAACCCAGAAACAATTTCTATCTGACTCACTTTCTTTTAGCCTCTCATTTACACACATTATCTTTTCTGAACATCTCCCTCAATCTTTCCCCCACTCCATTTCCACTTTTTGCCTTTACACAAAATACGGTCAAAGGCACATCCCAGAATTTCTTTTTCTTTTTTTTCTCCAAAGTAAAAGTGAATACAGAACTGTCTGACATCAATATCGCAATGATCTTTTCTGAAAGAGATCCCTTCAGTCAGCTAAAGAGTAGTTAATAAAGTCATTCATTTTACTACCCTAGAAGTACAAGAATGGCTAAAAACAGGAAGAAAAATCTCTTAATAGTGGGATTACATTTTTTTTACCCTCAAAACCCAAATATAACTCAGATCAGAACCAGCTACCAGATACACAATATGATATTACATGATCTAGGACTAAGGATGTAAATATCCATTTGGAAGTGGATAGAAGAAGTCATCTGCACTTACATCAAACCATGAAGTTCTCAATAAAGTATGAAATGCATCAGGCTGTGCTACACCTACACTTTTCAAACTATTTTTCACCAAGTCATTCAGCATAACATACAGAATAATTCCTTTAAATTTCCAGTCATTTAGCATTTGAGAAGTTGTTCAAATGTGTTTTTACAAAGTGGACTGTTGTGCTCACCTACAGGTATTAAGTACAGTAATTTACATTGGTCTAGCACTGATATGATATATTAGACAAGAATAGCACAGCAGTCTCATTTGTAGGGCTCACTGCCAAATCAGTCCAAAAAAATTATACCAGTTCATCAAATGTGAAGAACATAGTTGAATTTGACCTGCTGAATTGCGAGACTGATGAACTAACAACAAATAAAGATTTTCTTCCTTTCTTTTGGATTTAACACTATCTTGGCTAGCTTTGGAAGGCTTTCTTTGCCTAAGATGGTAAAGACCAGCTCATGATTCAAATGGAGCGGGTCTTCTCCCCTACCTTGCTGTTATCTAGTTCAAGGATAGTATATTCTGGCTGCTTCTAAACTTTGAAGGAAACAGAGCCCTCTCACAGTTTCCCATGGCTTTCAGTATCTATATTGTATTAATTAGCACATTCTTTAAATCATGGTTTTGTTTATAAACTTGCTTATTACACATTACACTAGCTTGTCAGCACTTGGACTCCTTTTTCTGTCAGCCTCTGAAAGTCTAATTCTGGCCTTAGTCATGTTCTAATCTGGTTAAAGTTATATTTATATATAGTCATCATAATTCCAATTACCACCAATACAGGTTAATCATTAAATGTGAGAGTTCACTGATATAGCAAAGGAAATGTGTGGTGGTTATCTCTAGTACAAATAGCACAGAGCAGAGAGGAACACTCAGATCCCACAAAACAGCTTCCAGAACCTCTCCTATGGCCCAAGGAAATCTGCCAGCCCCTGGGACTACATGCTGATGTATATGTCATTCTGACAGAAAAAGTGTCACCACCAGAGCAGTAGCTGATCGACATAAGCAACTTCTGAGATGATCCTGAGGATTCTGACAGCCTTTGGGAAAAAACACCCAGCACTGGTGAATGTCATGCCTTACATCTACTTCCTGAAGCCTGATCTGAGGGCTGGTGTTGGGATAACTGACTGATCACCATACTTCCTGTGACAGGACAGTGCTTAATTCAGTACTGTTAACATAATTTCAGCAGGTTCAGCCTGCATCGTCTATAATTCTGACGAAGGAGACATTATGCAATACTAAATTGCCTGTCAGACCGAGCAGGGTGAGGTACAGCATGAGAGAGTGGCATATTCCAGTGGTCTCTCAAAGCCAGGAATGCCTGAAATCTCCTCCTGAGGAATGATGGCCATTCTAGCTTTGTCCTCAAGGATGTTACTCATCACTTCAACAGTTTGGAGATGATACTTGGCTAGCAGAATGTTTTAATTTAATTTATTAGTAAAATTAATCAAAGAGTGGGGCTTTAAATCATGAAAGCTTTTGAAAACCTAGTGTTATTGTAAGTAATCTCTTTCCAGTTGTCTGTTTGTTTCACAGCAGCAATTACAACAAACATCCATGGGGGGTTTTTTTGGTAGTCTGAGTCCCATATTTTTTCCTGCAACAGTTACCTTTTTTTTCCTATTCCAAACTGATCTTAAGTAAAAGAAAAAGAAAAAAAACATGTTTAAACCATACTTTTAACCATATCTGTTACTATCTTTTTTAAGCAGTTTTAAATTTAACATTTTAACAGGCACCGTTCACCAGCTGCTATACAGTGAACACTTATTTCATCAGCTAGACCACACTGCAATCCACAGAAGGATCCAGAAAGAAAGTCAGATATACTCTCCCTTGTATCCAGATAGCCAGAACAAGAGCGAAACATTCTGGCGAAGCCACAAAACACATTACTGACTTATGACATTTATCAATGTTAGATGACTACATTAAGCCTCTATGTTAACAGACACAAAGGAGTAGCATGTTGAAACAGTCAGTTGGCTCTCTGAAGGGGAGACAAAACTGGTGATAAAGCTAGTCATTTGTTACCATTAATAAGGTCTTTGCAGCTTGCTATGTGAGAACATTTAAGAAAGGATCTTAGTAACATTACTTCACTATCAGGGCCAAAAAATGTATATTCTCCATCTCTTTTCACTGTTTCCATTCCAAGAGTAGCTCTGTTTCCCTCACAGCAAAACGATTGCTAGTGCATGTTCTAGAACAGCTGCTGTAGCAGAACAAAGGCTGAAATCTGATTTCACTGCTTTTTAGAGTTCCTGAGCAGTCACCATTTACAGTGATACCAGTAAAAGATTAGGAGTTTATCTGTTAGTCCACAGGTTCTTATTTGAAATTCATCCATAACAGATATTGTAATTTTTACTTTTTTTATCCTGTTAGTTTTAGTCTGGGAAGGTGAATAATTAAAATTACTTTTTAAGTCAACTTTTTTCTCCTCATCTCAGACCTTTTCAGATTTCATTCTTCTTGTGACCATGATGCTCTTTAGAAAATAAACACCAAGAAAAACATGGTTTTGTTTTATGGCTGTTTTGCTGGCTACATGGAAGAGAATCACTGCATTTACCAATTCAATTCACTTTGTCCAGTTAACCCCATTTCACCTGATACATCTATTACACCAGTGTGGCATACCTACAGAAACACATATCTGCATAAGCTTATCTCAAAGGCAGAATCAAAAAGGTGGACAATAAATAGAAGTAGAAGAAGAAACAGGCATTATTATAGTCAGCTTTCCACAGCAAAAGCACCTGAGGTGAACTCAAAAGTTTGGA